TCCCCCCCCCCCCCCAAAACCCCACGTGTATCTGTCGTTTCGGTAATATACAGAACCAGCTTTTTTTTTCTTCTTATGTCTTAACTTTTGTTCTGTTTGGTTCTTTCTTTTCAGTTATTAAAAAGCAATACGGCTAACATATATTTGATAACTAATCATCAATTTAGGTTTGATCGGAACATGAAGTAGTACACATTTAATTTACCTAAAATTTGTTAAAAAGGATGCCCACAATTTTGTATCATTAATACTACAAAATATAAATAATTCCATGGATCGCGACGAGTGATTTTCCAACCCTAATTATATTAGGTGACTCACCTACCAATATCAAAGGAGATATTATAACTAGATGATGCTAGCTGTGTTCTCGTGCTTCCAACCTCTACCCATTCATATATTTGATATATATTTTCTGTCTCGTTACACGAGAAACATGCATAATATGAAATGTCCTAAAACCATAATCCAGAGTCAGGACAATATGTGGAGACTATATAAAAATGGCTTTTGCTTATTGAATACATAGATAGATAGATAGATACCGAATAAAACCCCTTCGCTCTCCTTACAAGATCTACCTGAACGTACAAGGATACCGTCCGCCTGCTTGCCCGGCTAAGGGTACTGGTGCTCTGTCCTGCCCTGGTCCTCTCCTGCCATTGAACCACTACTCTTAGCCACACAAGTATGCTGGCGGGCCACATCCTTTGTCCACTGGACCCCGACGGGGAAAACATGCTCGGGATGCTCGCTCTAGGGTACAGTTCTATGGCAATCGGTAAGAAAGAAACACCATACTGTATCAGGATGTCACATAAGCTTCTCTCCTCTTTTTTTTTCTTCTGGTTTTCTTGATCATATATCGACAGGGGAGGCATGGTGAACGCATATAAACCATTTCCCATCGATCCTCTCGAACATATTAGTCACGAACTGAGCTCCCCAACTGTTACTCCCTTTTGTCTTGACGAATTCCATGCACGTAATATATCCTACGTCACCCCAGACATGAACCTGTACCTCTTTCAACTCTATGTCTAACGGAAAGTCATAGTTCATCCACACAACTTCCCAGCTTTCCATCACGTAATCGTATCCCATTATACCCTTAGCACCCGGGTGGACGCAGCATGCGTTTCCAGATTTCACCCACAACGACTGCATAGTGGCCAAATCCCCGTTTCTGAATGATTCATAGAACCGAGCATTCACTGATAGAACTGAGGCTTTGCTGTCTTCCTGAAGTGTTTTTAGTGTATCCCTTAGCTTAGCTGCCTTGGCATAGTTCTCTTCCTGTATTGCCATCTCAAGCTCCTGCTTCAATGTGTTCTCATCCAATGAAACGCTCTCGATGTCTGTGGTTTGGGGGTTGTCATCACTTTTCACTCGGCAAGGTTTCCATGATCTTAGACAAGTGCCTGCTCCATAGGATGATGTCCTCTATCATCAGAACTTGAGTTGAAAACACAGACAGAAAAGAGAATACGAAATTCCCTAATCCGACTGCCCAAAGACAAGATACTAGATAGATCATAGATGATTTCACTCTATATAACCGAATAAGAATAAGGTTAAGGCTAACAAAATGCAACTTTTGAACAGAGCACGATATACTCAACATAAAAAAAATGCTTGGAAGGAGATGATGCAGATTTATACCAACTTTCAAGACAAGCTTGTAATAGTAAGAACTCACGTGGTTTTAAGTTTTGCAGCTTGAGATGACCTGAAGCGAATTTGTTGCCGGCCAAAACCATATTACATTGGATCGGATTAGACCTAAGGAAATGAGGCTGCTTTCTTAGACCACTGAAGGTAGAAGTATTCCCCCTTGTACTTGGCCACTGTAAGGAAACCAAACTTAGAAAGAAAGAAAAACATAAGAGCAAAATGGACGAAGCGATTGTTAGAATGTATATTAGGTTTGGCTCCAGATTGGTTCAGTTTAGCTCGGTTTTACATTGTACAAACACTTGCACGTGATGATTCATTTGAATACAACACGGATTTTTTTTTTCTCAACTTCCATCTTTTGAATTATCCCTAGAATTTCAAAATGGTGTCAAGAGCAGAAATTTTATTCTGTGGCGAAAATCAAATCTGTTGAATTCAGAAAGAATTGAATCAAATCGACGATTGAACAGATGAAATCTACACAGAATAACTTTCTTCTCTGATACCATTTTGACATTCAAGAGAGAAATCATAAGTTGGAGAAAATTTTTGTGCTGCGTTCAAGTAATTCACCAATCACAAAATATTTGTAGTATGGAAACTAACCTAAACCCAAAACTAAACCGATATTGTAACAACAATAATCTGAATTCAGCAAGTTAAAGAAGGGAACTGACAAATCACACACAGAAGACCATAAAACAATGAGTTTCCAGGTTCCACCACCAAAAGGATTGAAAGCTTAACATTACCAATATGGACATCGTTTTCAGGGTTTCATCTTACTCTAAGACGACGACTTCAAGTGCAGCAGACAAAATAGAACTCCGAGCACGAATGAACATGGAATCATCCATCTCCGGAGACTCTTCTTGACAAAATAATAAAGCACAACAAAATCTAGATAGATATGCATGTAAACTACGAAAACAGATACATATATACATATAATGACACACATACCCGCGAGTATGTTAACATAAGCTTCAGAATCAAGAGAAACAAAGGAAAGATGACTGCGAGAGAAATCCCCACTCACTCTGCATGAAAACTCGGATACACGAAGCGCCATGGAAGCAGTGTTCCAATGCACGCAGCTATTACACGACAAAATGCGGGAATCTCCGGCTAGGGTTTGGAATCTCGATCAATCAAACAAAACAGGTCCTCTGCGCCTGAGAATCCAACCGTCTCTCATCCGAGATATATGAGCTTTGGGAAGATGGAATTATTGGGCTGGACTTTAGATTAAGTTTTAAAATGGGCTTTATTTTATATCTTTTAGGCCCATAAAAACTAAACTCTAAGCCCAATTATTTGATTCCATGGACCACGTGCACTCACTATATATAATATATGATGACTATATATACACGTGACGGTGCCCCTGACCAATGTCTTGGAAATTTTATTTTTATACATTGGCTTTTTTTTGGTAAATATTTTTATACATTGGTTGGTACTTTATTTTTCTAAAATTTGATTTATATACACTTTTGCGGATTTAATATAAGGAGAAATCCCAATATAATTCGTTACCAAAGACTAGATTAATATATAAACTTTAAAATTCTCAATAAACACAGGGAAATATTCCTAATTCCTAAATCGTGTACACTAACTCCCAAAACACACAACTAATATTCCATGTATTTTTCTGATTTAGTGTAAGAATAAGAAATAATCTATTCGAAAATTCAAAAATTATGTATTAATATAAGTTTTAATAACAAATTAGGCATGGCTTAATTTGACTCAATTGTATGTTATCTAACTTAATTTATTTGATAATATCAGAAACGAGCGGACCATTAAAGACAAGGAGGTAATATGACACGTGGCATATCAGTATCAGGAGCTGGTGGTTGTTCACTCTTGTCACTCAGACAGACATGCAATCAACGAACGATCCTTGGATTCGGTCTGAATGTTTTTTTTTTCCTGGTGGCGGGAGTTGTTCTTCGTCAAGCATTTTCAAAAGTTTCCATCTGAGGAAGAAACTACTTTCCCGGGAAACAAACACACGCCTGAATCAATACCGGGTTTCTCTTCTCTCTCTCCCGCGCTTTCTTTCACCATGGTTTTGGATCGCGGAGAGAATCGAAATTAGCCGTCCGATCGTGCGATTGATCTCTGCGTTTTCTTCGCCGTACGATCATCATTGACCTTCGTCTTTCCATTTGATGGGCTGCATCTGCTTCAAGCCCTGGCGCCCACCTTCACCTCCCCCGCCGGATTCCGTCACCATCCTCGACGATCCAGGTATCATCCGGTGGATTTTCCGTTCATTCGTTTTTTTTTTTGTGTGTGTAGTGTTTTCTGGTGAAAGAGATGATTGAGTCGTTTTCCATAGATTCCGGCGGAGTGGCTGTCGGAGAGTGTTGGCAGAGTTTCAGGGAGTTCAGCTTGGAGGAGTTGAGGATCGCCACCGGAGATTTCTCCGCCGGTAACATAGTGTCGGAACACAACGACAGAGTTCCCAACATTGTCTACAAAGGGAAACTCGACGACGGCCGTACAATCGCCGTCAAGCGGTTCCAGAGGCTTGCTTGGCCCGATCCTTTCGAATTCCTCGTTCGTCCCCTTCCCCTGTTTCATCTTATGTTTCCGTTTGATCTTCTACAATCGGGTTTGTCGAATTTCCCGGAATTCTACTGCCTTTGATCGATTCTTCTCATCGTTCGTAAACTCAGATGAGCTTCATGCCCAGTTTCTCATATTCTTTTCAGTGATTGTTGAAACTTGATCCACTCTTTCATTCTTGACTTGATTGTGGTATTGGTTAGGGTTCCACCCTGCTCTGTTGATGAGTTTCTTGAAATCTTCTAGCTTGATCTTATCCTTATTTGAATGTGATTGCCTATAAGGACGAAGCACAAGATGTGGGGAGGTTAGGGAGTGAGCATATGGCGAACTTAATCGGGTGTTGTCTAGAGGGCAACGAGAGGTTGCTTGTTGCAGAGTACATGCCCAATGGAACTCTTGCAAAGCATCTCTTCCACTGTAAGTCGTTCCCTTCAGACACGTTACGATGGTGCTCTTGTCCGAAATGGCTCTCTCTTTCTAAACGAATAAGGCATTCTCTTGTTTGCCTCTGTTCATGGATGACAATGTTACCATAAAGCTTCAAGGCTCTAAGATTAAGGAAATAGTTCCTTCTCTTTTGTCTGCGATTCTAATGGTTTGTTAAAACGTTGAAATGGTTTCAGGGGAGAAAAGACCGATGAAATGGGAAACAAGGTTAAGGGTAGCATTGCATACAGCCAAGGCCTTGGAGTATTGTATTGATAGGGGAATGGACTTGTACCACGATCTTAATGCCTACCGGATATTGTTTGATAAGGTAAAGATTCCATGCCCAGTGTATTGACTAACCCCAATTTGTATCGTTGAAGTGTCGAAAAATGCTCGGGCAGGTGGGGAATCCTAGGTTGTCTTGCTTTGGGCTCATGAGAAGTAGCCAAGCAGGGAAGAGCTATAGCTCGAACTTGGCATTTGCTCCTCCTGAATATCTTTGCTTAGGTACATGTTTATTGACACCCTTTTAGGTTATGACATGAGTTTGAGTTGTCCTGAACCAGGACAAATTAAAGCCGATGAACTTTTTATTTAAGACTTCTGTTCGGTATTCCAACTTATCATTGATAGAAGCCTCTCCGCATATCTCTTCCAGGTGCTGTGATGCCAGAGAGTGTCATTTTTAGCTTCGGGACAATACTACTCGATCTTATGAGCGGAAGACATATTCCTCCTTATCATGTAAGTTTCTTCTCTCGGATCAAAACGTCTTTTGAATCTCGAGATGTATATATATCATGATTATTCACACTTGTTTTCGGTTTGTCTGTATGCAATTTCAGGCGCTGGATTTGTTCAAAGGCAAAAACCTTTTGGTGCTAATGGATTCAGCTCTAGACGGTCGATTCTCCGATGAGGACAGGACAGAACTAATGCATTTAGCCTCCCGCTGTCTGAGGACTGAACCCGACGAGAGGCCTAGCATTAAGTTTCTCCTGACGACTCTTACGAGAATTCAGAAACGGGCTGAGTTAGGGTTTAATGCCAAATGGACCGCGCCTGTAAGCCATTCTCTGACCATGTTTTGCCCTTTTTGGGACATATCTGATGCAACATATTCCTTATCCAATGAGTAATGACAGTGTCCATCATACTACGGTGGCCTGCCCGAAAAGAACGGTGGGACTAAACTCGCGACTCAGCCGTTGTACTTGACGCCTTTTGGAGATGCATGTCGGAGAGTGGATCTCAGTTTAATACACGAACTTCTGGAGAAACTTGGTTATAGAGACGATGACGGGGCCGGTAACGAGGTACATACGCTTGTTCCAAAACATATTCCATTCAATGATTTTTTTTATCGGAATTCGAGGAATTGAGTGAATGATTTTTCTACGGGTAATGCAGCTTTCGTTCCAAATGTGGACGGGCCAAATGCAGGAGAATTTGGACTACAAGAGGCACGGAGACGCCGCTTTCCATGCCAAAGATTTCGAAACCGCCATTGAATTCTACACAGAGGTAATGATGTAATAACCCCAAATGTGTAAAAGTAGTAAACTTTCAAGCAAAATATCCAAAACCCATCACAAGCAAATCTTGGATTCATAAGACCCTTTTGAAAAAAAATATCCTGTGTTTCTTTATGCAGTTCTTGAACGGAGCGGCCGCTGAGTCAGTGACTGTGTTAGCGAGGAGGTGCCTATGTTACATGATGAACGATATGTTCCACGAGGCTTTAACCGACGCAATGAAAGCTCGGGTGGTATCTCCCCAATGGCCGATCTCTCTGTACTTGCAAGCGGCTTGTCTGCTCAAGCTCGGGATGGAATCCGAAGCTAAAGAAGCTCTTAGAAACGGTTCTGATCTTGAAACTCACTAAGCATTACACATATATACATATATATATGTGTGTGTATCGGGGTAGATATGTGTTTAACTTGTTTGGTTTTGTCTGAGAAACTCTCTGTATGTATAACCGGGTTTTCTTTGTTTTGAGTGATGATCATCATGTTGGGGAATAAGGTTACTGAGAAGGGAGGTTGAAATGAAAGAACCATGAGATGATAAAGGCAGATACCATACAGGTCAGTATGAAATTCAGGAACCTCTGTCCCCTCCAGAGTCTTCCGCCCTCTTCCTCCGAAGCAGCAGCAGCAGCTCTCTCTTCTTCTTCCTCCTCGCTCCCTACCGCCCCGTTCCCATGGCCGATCTCGTCAGTTATCGAGAAGTTCCGAGCTATGGAACGGCAAATCTCGCAAGTCCTGATGAGAGTGGAAGGATGGATCAAGTTTCAAGGAAAAGAAAAACGTTCTTGATTGTGAATTTCAATGGTCACTCACTTGTTGCCCTTGATCTTGAACCAGTGTTCAGCACAGCGCTTATGGACAAAACCCAGATCCTCCTTACAAGAACATCCCAATACCATGGGAGTTCCACACTCGTGGCTACTGCTCTCCAGACCCATGTGGCAAATCCTGCATTCTCTCTCACTGGGTTCAGTGTCCGAGTCCACAATCTCCGACTCGCCGCACAAGCTCCGTACTGCTGAGTGAAACTCCTCGTCGCACGAGCTGCCTTCTTCCTCGTCGCTTACATCACTCCTCGGCCGGCGGTCTCGGGTACCATTTTCCAAATCTACATGAGAGACTTCTAAAGACGACATTTTTCAGGAAACTAACACAGAGATCTCCTTAATACCCGAGATATTGCGTGTAGAGAGAGAAAGAGAAGACAAGAACTGAAACAATTAAGACAATATGATCGACGTCTGTGAACCAACAAAGGTCAAAAAGGACAGAACCCAGGAGTGTCAGGAGACAGAAACTATGTTTCAGAACAAGACAAGACGTGGAATACAAGTAAAATTGTAAGCTCGGATCAATCGAATCGGAAAGAAAACAGTAGAAAAAGAAAAGCCATGAGAGAGAGAGAGAGAGAGAGAGAATCCAAGTTCATCTATGAGTTGGGGGGTGGTGTGCTTTGTGTCGGGGACCAAGGTTGTTCCCTGATTCACGAACCGTAATGAGGATCCCCAGCCTTTGAGTTAATCAATACACTAATCCGCACGCTAAGTATCTTTTATTTTAAGTCATAAATGGTCGAATTATCACTTGTACTTTGGTCTTTGACTTTGGCCATTTGAGAACGTTGATTAGACCCTCGTTGTTCGAAAGTCAGCCAACAGACGGCTGTGATCTATTTTAGAGATTTGTTCGCGTGGCAGCGTATAGAACCTTCCCTTCCTCTTCTCTCTCTCCTCATGCTTATCTTTCACGCCACCATTAGCACACTATTTAATTTATTTTCCATTTTTCTTCGCCAATAATGAAATAAATCCAAATAATATCAACTGCATTAAAATAATAACAACAGTTAACGAGTGGAGATATTAATTAGGCATGAATATTTCTCTGTTATGATTGTTGGAAGAAATAAAACTACATGGACAGAACATTAGCCATTTCCTTCCCCCTGTCCGAGATTCCATGATGAATATCCACTTTGTTGTTCTGATAATGACCAAGATTTCGTCCTCGAGAGCCGCTCGGCCTTAGCCTACTCGCAGCGTCATCCATTACCCTTGCGCTGCTATTCTCCAATCCGCTCCTCAGCCAAGCCAGGCTGCTTATATCTGTGGCTATAGCCACCAGTTCGAAGCTTGGGCTCGTTTCTGGTTCCGAGTAATCCACGAATTCCGGACCCAAAACCGAGTTTCGAGGATAAGTATCGCCGAGATTGCTGCAACACCCTCGTCCACATTGTTGAGGCACGAACCGCTCGTTGTAAGCTCCTTCGAGTAATCTAAGAACTGGGTTGTCCTGTTTAGATTCTTCCATTTGATGCTGTCCAGACATAAGTGAAGAAGCGGTTTTGGATCCGTCCATGTGGTTGTAAACGTTGAAAGCACTCATACGAGCTACCGGACGGAAGAGAGTGGGAGGGTCTTGGCATTTTTCCTCGGACATTTCCATGGAGGTTGTCTCTTTAGGTGCAGTATGACAACCGCCGCCAGAAGATAAAGTTTCTTCAGATGAGGCTTTGGCCTCGTCAAAGACAGAATCTTCAGCCACGTTTTCGGTTCCCATCGTAGCCTTTTGAAGTTCCATGATGTATCTACGCCTTAGAGTAGAATTCCAGTGGTTCTTGATAGCATTATCTGTTCTACCCGGGAGAAGCTTTGCAATCACTGCCCATTTGTTTCCGTAAATAGTGTGCGCTTCAATTATCTTCCGGTCTTCCTCCCCTGCATTAACAGCAACAAAAAATAGAGACCTGATTTGGTTATATCCGATGGAAAACAATAAAAAGAAAGCATCATAACCAGTAAGTGAACATTGTTCATATGTAGTTTGGCCCGCAAAATAGCCCCGTAACTTCGGGAGAAGGGGTGCCTCCTCATTAGTCTGTCTTCAAATGCGGGAAGGTTACTTTCTATGTATATAGCCTGGAAGCCATTCTGATCGGCACGCCCTGGCACTTTCGGAAGAGTTCGGAAGAGAATGGCTTGAGCTCTTTAGCGTAATACAAATGGCTTGACATGCTACTGATTCGAAGATTAAAGTTGATTGCCACTATGCATATAACTTGAAAAAAAAAAACAAAATCACACACACTATGGAATCAATAGAAGTAGCAGGACAAGCAGAGTCTTCTTGTTCATGAAATAGAAAAGAAACACAGAAAGTAAATGGACACCATAACCAAATCTACGAGGAAACAGTATCTTCTGTTAAGATTTGGTAAGAGACCAGTAGTTTCTTATGCCATTGAGCTTCAAGACAAGAACAGCAGCTTCACCATTACTACTACAGAGTCAAAGCCATCCCCTTTCTTGAACTTTCATCAAATGCCCAGTATCAGAGATGGAAGATTTTTCGGTGGGATCAGTCCCAGTTCATAATTATACAAGCAACCCTAATGTTAATCTATCTTCAGTATCTTGAAGAGCGAAATTCACCTCAATTATTAGGGATTTTTGGGGGATCTAAGATCAAAACCCTAAATTCATCCATTCCGACCCTCGGATTCCCCAAAACATTCAAAATTTCAGAACGAAGATCACCAAAACACTTCACGTGCAAATCGAATCACGAACTGAAGGAAAAACAAAATCCAAGATTCAGTAAAGCGACACAGCAAACGTACCGGTGAACGAGTTACGTTTCACTGACGGATCGAGCTGATTACACCACCGGAGACGACAAGACTTTCCGGACCGACCAGGGATTCCACGAGCGATCAAGCTCCAGTTCCTCGGTCCGAACTTGCTCACGAGCTGACTCAGCACCGCGTCCTCCTCCGGCGACCACGGCCCCTTGACTCGCTCCTTCCCTCCACCACTCGCCCCCTCCCCGGAAAACGCCGCCATATCTTCTCCGGCGCCTGAATCCTCCACCTCTCCCGCCACCGTCCCCACCATCTCCGGCCGTCTCTCACAGGCTCCCTCCATTGCCTCCGTTCACCTACCGGACTTAACTGTTAGGTAATCAATGTCCTCGTTCGTTTGGTCGCGTGAAACACACGCGCTCTCGAATTAGATTCGTAGGGCGCGTCTCGGGAAGTTTTTGATAATTACTCTACTGCCCTCCATCCTTGAAGTACGTGTTTACCCTTGCACGCGATCTGCAATCTCCGCATTTTGACTTCCCTTCAGGGGTATTTATGTAAATAAAGAAAAACGATGTGTCCTTTTGTCCTTGGAGGTCTTTGATAACTTCGTGCAATGGCGGGAAATTTTGCCACTCGGGACATGGATTTAGACTTTAGTTATGCTAGTTTAGGCCCAATAGTATCAGACCTGGGCCGAAATATAGGCCCAATATTGTGTGGACGTAGTGACGTCTCGTCTACGTAATAAAACCACTCGAGCGTTATAAAATAAGACAAGTCATATCACTACACGATTAAATAACGAATATTTTCTATTAAATATATACATAATATATAAATATATTATCATTTTGAATAATAACTAAATTTAAATTTCCAATAAAATTTTTAAAAGGGTCCAAAATGGGTTTTTACATGTAAATAGCCTATCCATTCTTATAGTAAGTTTGACATCGCTGATTCCAAGCAAAACCCATAAAACGTGGCTTTTTTTAACATACGTATATATAAATGTATCATATGCTAATATCTTATTATTTGATAAAAATGCGAGTCAGTTACAAAGAAAAGAATTATTTGTATGGTATGGTCGTGTTTATACCATCTAAAGTCATAAGCCTCGGCATGCTATTTCATTCGCCAGACCAATTCAAGTTGAATCTTGTAATCAATATACACCTTTGTAACTATCCACGAAATTAGATCAATATTGGGAGTCAAAACTCTTAACTTGTTCTGCCGTGAAATTCTAAATCACAGTGGAATGTGGATTGACGACATTGGTCGAATTCGTTCTGGTTTCAAATATACGTATAACCAAGTCAAACATAATCTATGTGTGAGGTGGTATATGTATATGTATATGTATATGTATTAGTTGCGTATAGGAAGAAAGTGAAAAACGTGGTCAACTATTAAATTTTTATATCGTATAGAGACATAGTCGCCGGCGCCGCAATAATTAGTTGCAATTGGTTAAAGCTTTTTAAGGAGAAGATGAAGAAATCATCATCTTTGTTACTTGCAACTTCAATGGTGGGAAAACAAAAAGAATAATACATCAAGAGATTGCTTCTTACCCATACACACATCGAATATTTTTCATAATTATATATATATATATATATACATATATATATATACATATATATATATCAACATTATCTTTGAAAAGGTCGCTTCAAAGGAATTAGATTTTGAAAAATGTATCTTCATTCTTATTCCTTGATTTAATTATACCAAATTCAAAGCTTTGGTAATTGGCAGTTGAAATGTAGGATATATTTGGTGGATATTATAAATTACTTGGGATGAAGAAAACAGAGTTGTGCAAGTCTGTGGTTAGGTTGCAAATTAGGTCTCAGAAAACAAAATCAAGAATTGTTTTGTTGGTCAACAAATCGATATATGCCACATAAATTAAGTATAATTAAATTGTATGGAATACATAAAAAAAAATTATTATAAAATATCACAATATTTGATTATAATTCTGCATTTTTTGTTTGCTTTAGTTTACCGTAAATAAAATATACACTCATCCTCTTCAACGTGAATTATATTATATTGGAGTTAGTTTTTTTTTTCGAATTAATGGCGTAATTTTAGAAAAGCAACAAAAAAACAATTAAAATATTTTATTTTTATAATTTTTTGGACTTAATATTTATTTTGGATTCATATGTACACTTGATTTCAGGCTATAATTGCATGCACATTAATATTTTAAAACACGTTATAATTATGGAGTCCCACAACGCAATCATGATCATGGGCTATGGTAAAAATGGATTAATTAGTCCCAGAGAAATTCGGAGGTTTAGTACTTCATGCATGCATGCATGCATGCAGACAACGTTTCTTATGTATAACAATAGATGCCTAAGATTTTATAATGAGTTGATAGATAAATATTATACGTAGAATAGTCACGGATCGGATATCTTTTTAAAAAAAATATTTATAACTGTATCCAATCCACACAATATTTAATTTTATTACCTATATCCGATTCGTAGTTTTTGAATATTCATAACAAATGTGATGAATATTTGTAGATATTCGTATCTAACCTAAAATATGGTAAAGATAAAAAATATTTTTTCTTTTTTTTTCAATATATGTATCCGACCTAAAACATGAAAAATATTTACGAATTTTTGTATTCGTAATTTCGGATATTCGTAAAGACCGTATATTTTTTTTTTCCAAAACCACTTCATAAATATAAATTAATTATCAAAATATTTCTATATTAATAATATTATTAAAAAAAAGTACGATTCAGATCAGATAATTCAATTTTGATACCCCATCCGATCTGTACTCGATAAATATTTTGAAAATAATATGTGTATTCGATTCATGAATTTCGGATATCTAAATTTTTTATTCCGATACAAATCGAATAACGGATCCATTTGACTTATTTGGATGCACTCGTGTCCGTACCATTTAGTAGCGATTTGATATTCCGTACCATGCAGTCTCTTTATGAGATTTTAACTTGTATTCTTAAGATGCGAAAACCAATTCCTTTGGAAATAAAATAAATAAATGTGTTGGTCCGAAGATTAACGGCCCGACAATTTGATAATTTAGATGCGTGCGGATCGCTTTGTATTAAATAATTAAAATTGACCAAGAAAGTAGACTTGGCTATTGCCTAAACACATCGTATGATGATATATTACATTTTAATATATAGATATATATATAGTTATTGTCATAAAGATATTTAATCAATCAAAGCACACACACACACACACATATATATATATATATAATAACATTTTTTATATAACAATCCAATAAAAAAATATTTCGAAATTATTCAACTAGATATCTCATATCATATGTATCTGTCTCTCTATTACAACTAATGGTTACCATGACAATTAAATAAGAAAAGAGAATCAAGTCGCTGGAAATTAACAGTTGTCTGTCTACATCTGATATTAAAATATAACTAATAATATACTATTTACTGAAAAAATATTATATATTTTATTCTATTATTCATGCCTTCCTTAACCAAGTTTATCATTATATACACATAGATGCAAACAGAAGTAGACCATTTCTATACACGTAACGTACCGAATCTAAACCCTTGTTTATTTATTATGAATAAGTAAAAGTATTACCAATATTCTGCAAATTAATTAAAGAGTAACTTTTAATTATTTATTTATTTATTTATTTATTTATTTATTTATTTATTTATTATTATTATTATTATTATTATTATTATTATTATTATTATTATTATTATTATTATTATTATTATTATTATTATTATTATTATTATTATTATTATTATTATTATTATTATTATTATTATTATTATTATTATTATTATTATTATTATTTGTCTTGGCTGTTTTGTAATTAACACAATTTTTGGAAGGCTTGTGCCGAGAGTGCGTCTCATGTATTGTTTTGCATTTTCTAGATGTTATATTATTTTATTTCCTTCACTGATGGAATGTTATATTACTAACCATTAGATGTTTCAGAATTGTCGAATTATCTGTATCCATTTGGTCTAATATCCGACCACGTGCTTAATAATTTCTAGCATAGGTTTTTTATGTCGCACCAAATTAATGAAGCAGTTCCATCAGAATATAGATATGATAGTCATGTTATATATAAATCTAAATTTTTATTGATTTGGTAGTTGATATCTCCTGATTTAAGAACAAAATAAGTTTTGTTTTTTCGAATAGTTGGGGTATAATTGCACTATCAATTATCCCTCAATAATATATATTTGAATTTGTTAATGAAAAATCCATAACCCAAAAGTTGAAGTAAGTTTCCGACTCCGAGGACATTATAATCGAGTAATATACAAAGGACGTGAGTATATCGTATATACAATGCATATCTTATAATATATTATTACAAATTCAAATTGTCTGCATAGACTAAGAATGTCGTACGAGTGACCAAGTAAAACCGTTGATAATCATATATACTATAATGTTGCTGATACGAACACGGTTTTGATTTTGGACCTTAGTCCTATCCTCCAATTCACCAAAAAAAAAATCAAAGAAATATTGGAGTTAATATAATACACACGTTATATATATATATGTATGTATGTATGTATGCATACCAAAACTTATCGTTTTCCTTAAAATATTGTAAGCCAAAAAAATTCATTTAAAGTATTTGCAAAACTTTATAAACGTGAGTAATTTATACAATTAAAAATGAACTTTCTCATAATTACATATCGTGAGTCATTTTAAAATTGTATAGATCCTATGTGGAGAGTTGTCACGGAATTGTCAATTGCAATGGTTTTTTTTTTTTTTTTTTGTATGATGCAATGAATTATTTTTGCAACAAAAAAAAAAGAAGAAGAAAACATAGGTTTGAACATATCGTTATAATACAAAATTCAAATAAAAAGATATGGTAAGCAAAGATTCGTATGACTTTGTCATAGGAACATAGTTTCATACAAATGCGTGTACACAGATCTCTTTGTCATATGTATGTATATATATATATATATGTATGGTATATTTTCGTAAACATTGAAAATATATATTGTATTAAGATTGCAAGAGAGAAAAATGTCAACGGTTTTAAATATCACATATTACCTAATAATATATCTATATGTATATGCTGCCAGTTAACGGACAGCCAACGTATTATTTTCATTATGAAATGTCAAACTAGTTGCAATTAACCATACGTTTTACGTCCGAACTTATATTTTTATGTTTCACGTAATTAGTCTCAATTTCAAAGGTAAAAGGTATGTAATCGCACAACATAAAATCATGTGGAGTAAAAGTAATTGAATATTCTTTACAAAAAAAAGAGAGTAATTAATTGAATATTAATTTTGAAAGAAGATAAAAAATTTATTTATGAATTATAACACGCGTGTAGAAAAATGAAGAATATATTCTAATATCTATGGTTATTATGATTATAACATAAGCACAAAAATCCAAATTTAAAATTTTCATGCAGAAAATCAAATTCATCGGGCAATGAATGTGTATAATACAAAGTCGTGGTCGTTCATCCTTATCGTATCTTTTGCACTTTACACTTCTATAAATAATAATCACAACCAACATTCTCTTTGCATCATCCCAACCTATAACGTCTCTCTCTCTCTCTCTCTCTCTCTCTCTCTCTCTCTCTCTCCCCCTCTCTCAGTGTAATTATAATGGAGGGTCTTAAGCTTTCTCTAGCATGGATTCTTCTTCTTCTCGCTGCTTCTTCAATGGCTTCCGCAGCTATTGTCGAACACACCTTCCATGTAACCAACATTTCCCAGCTTGATTCTTCCTTCTGAAAACATTAATAATATGTTTGTGCGCATATATATATATATATATATGTTTCTTCGTCTGTCTCCATAAGTATTCATGAATATAAACAGGCCATGCAAACACATGTAGGTACTAATAAGCAAACCCTATCTAACGGCGTGAGAGATGTCACGGTTATATCGCAGGTGAAAAATTTAACGGTAAGCCGGCTGTGCAAGAGGCAGGTGATAACGGCCGTTAACGGAAGCCTTCCGGGGCCGACGCTTCTCGTCCGGGAAGGTGACACGCTCGTTGTCCACGTTGTCAACCAATCCCCTCACAACATCACCATTCACTGGTAACAGCAATAATCATTTCATTAATTGTGGTGATTACTTCCTCATTTGATTAATTAACGACCGAATTAAATATTCTCTCTTTACTACACGCGACCTTTTACCATCCCCATTTTCCCTGCCTCTTAATCGCTTACCTCCATATGTTCATTTTTATAGATTTTGACCACCCACCAGCGAATTACGTAGGAAACTAAATCAATTTAACATACCAAAGCATTTAATTAAAAACATTCTAAATCATGACAATTTTCACCCAAAAACATGGAGAGATAGGAAAACGAAATGTATAGTTTGTGATTTACTTAATGCATCGTTTTTCTAATTCGTATACGGGAACCGCCATTATTTGAATTCATGAACACACGTACTTTCATTCAAGAAAATAACATAATATATTGATTCATTATAGAAAAAGTAAATAAAATAAAGTATTGTATACGTGTGTGGGGCGGCTAGGCACGGGATATTTCAGCGAATGAGCCAGTGGTCAGATGGGCCGAGCATGATAACGCAGTGTCCGATACAGCCTGGTCAAAAGTATACGTACAGGTTCACCGTCACGGGCCAGGAAGGTACGCTCTGGTGGCACGCTCATGCGTCTTTCCTACGAGCCACCGTCTACGGAGCCCTCGTCATCCGTCCTAGGGATGGCCACTCTTACCCTTTCCCCAAACCCGACAAGGAAATTCCCATCTTACTCGGTACGTATAATAAACGAAAACTATCAACATTTTACATAAAATTTTTTTACCACCCTTTGTTAATAATAGTAAGTCGGTAACCTCAAGTCAGTGTATTTTTTACAAGTTTTAAACAAAGTTTTTTTTTTTTTTATATTGGTGATTACCCAGTGCGGGGTGTTTTAATCCTTTATTGTATACGTGTGACTACAGGGGAATGGTGGAATGCGGATGTGGTCGAGCTCGAGAATATAGCGGTGGCTACAGGTGTTCCTCCGAACAATTCCGACGCTTACACGATCAATGGCTTGCCCGGAGACCTATACCCTTGCTCCAAAGACAGTAAGTAAATAATGATGTTAGTGTTTATTTACAGAAAGTTTATTGTAACGACGAGTTTAGAGAATTTACGATTTAGATAATCGTGATTCAAATACTATACAGGTTACAACGCAAATGAGTTATATGTGATATTTACACAGTAAATAAAACCAGTTTTCTTTATGAAAGTCGATTTTTAATGTGTATCTAAAATTTTGTAATTATATATATATAATATAAGTCTTTACTTTCTCGTGTAAATATAATGGAAACATTTTGTGTTTGGTGCAGGAATGTTTAGCCTAAGAGTGGTGAAAGGGAAGAGATACTTGCTACGCATCATAAACGCAGCGATGAATATCCAGATGTTCTTCAAGATAGCCAATCACAAGCTGACAGTTGTCACGGTGGATGCCGTCTACACAAACCCTTACGTCACCGACGTCATCGTGATCGCGCCTGGTCAGACCGTTGACGCCATCCTCCTGGCCGACCAATCCGTCGGGTCTTACTACATGGCGGCTCGAGCCTACAACAGCGCTCCCGCCGTCCCTTTCCCCAACACCACCACACGTGCCGTCCTCCACTACTCCGGCGGCGCGTCTACTTCCACGCGCAGCCGCGGCCGCGGCCGCGTCCTCATGCCTAGGCTTCCCTCCTTCTTTGACACCCCCACGGCTCACAGATTCTACTCGAACCTCACGAGCCACGTGGGCGCTCGTCACTGGGTCCCAGTGCCACGCCACGTGGACGAGGAGATGCTCGTGACGGTTGGGCTCGGGCTCGAGGCATGCACGGACAACGCCACGTCCCCCCGCCCGCGGCCGCGGCCGCGTCCTCATGCCTAGGCTTCCCTCCTTCTTTGACCCCCCCACGGCTCACAGATTCTACTCGAACCTCACGAGCCACGTGGGCGCTCGTCACTGGGTCCCAGTGCCACGCCACGTGGACGAGGAGATGCTCGTGACGGTTGGGCTCGGGCTCGAGGCATGCACGGACAACGCCACGTGTCCAAACGGTCCGAAATTCTCGGCGTCGATGAACAACCACTCGTTCGTATTGCCGACGACTTTATCGGTGATGCAGGCGGCGTTCTACCGCGTCGGCCGCGTTTTCACGGCGGATTTTCCGGATCAACCTCCGGTGAAGTTCGATTACACGAATCCGAACATAACACAACTGAATCCGCCATTGTTGTTCGCTCCGAAGAAGACAAGCGTGAAGGTACTGAGATTCAACGCGACGGTGGAGATGGTTCTTCAGAACACGGCGCTTGTTGCGGCGGAGTCTCATCCGATGCACCTTCACGGCTTCAATTTCCACGTCCTGGGTCAAGGGTTCGGGAACTACGACCCGAACCGGGACCGGAAAAACCTAAATTTCTTCGACCCACAATTCCGCAATACCCTCGCTGTACCGGTTGGAGGATGGGCCGTGATCCGGTTTACAGCTGACAACCCCGGTAAGTAAATTTTAATCAACATGTACAGTAGCCATAGTCTGAAATGAAAAACATTGCGTATTCCATTAGGGTTTGAATTGGTTTCATAAAATTTAATTCGATTGAAACGGTAAGAAAATGAATTTCGGTTCGGTTCGATAGAATTAACTGATATGGTTTTATGAGCAGGAGCATGGGTGATGCACTGCCACATCGACGTCCACTTGCCATTCGGGTTAGGGATGGTTTTCTTGGTCGAGAACGGTCCGACGCCATCGACCATGCTTCCGCCCCCGCCTCCGGATCTACCCCAATGCTAAACCGGAGTGGCATTTTCGTAAAACCAACAAAAGAAAAATTGACATCATAGTATTATTATTTTTTTGTCAAGTCATTCGTTTTATTTTTGGTTTGTCCCAATAATTGTCCACTGGAATTGGATAGAATCATAGAAGCAAGGTTTGTTCATTGTCCTAGAAGAAAAAAAAAAGTATCAATATATAGGCATTCAAAAAGAGCCCAACTCATAAGTCCGCATAAATAATTATTTTTGCTATTAAAAGTAATTAACATTGACTGACCATTATAACGAATTTAATATATCTCACATAAATTATAATCATATTTTGAGCCCCTAACCATGGTTAGAGATGCATTGTATGTTCGGTTCAGAAATTATTTTCTTCATTTAATAACCAAACCACTGGAACAAATATATTTCCGGACTTTATTGAATCCAATATAAAGATCCATCAAAATATGTCGTCCATCGTTTACGTTGTTGTGGGGTTAAATAATTTAAATTTGAAATGGAAAAACCCTAGATTTTTATGTTTCACGTAGAGGCAGGTGAAGGGGATGGGGCTCCACTAAATTCCTCCGACGTTAGCATGTCGGAAACAAGACCAGAACTTAGGATCTCGACCATCGTACGGTGGGGATTGGCTCGTCTCGCGGCACACACATCCGGCAAAAATGCACCTGCCCGCATCGGATCCATTTAATAGATTATTAGAAAATTACATATAATTTATACAATTAGATAATCCTATAAATATCGCTAAACTTTGCCAAATATATCGTATAAAATATTGTGTTTTTTTTATCAAAAAAATATTGTGTTTTTTTCAATCAATTAATCCGTGAACATTTCGATAGTGTCAGAAAAATTAGGGTTCTATTATTTAAAAACTGAATCGAATCCGACCGATTTATATGAGAACCAAATCAAACCGATTAAAATTAAATAACTATTTAGTTATAAATTTTTGAAATCTAAAATAATTGAATTCGAATTAATCTTAACCCAATAAACTGACATAACATTTTGTCTATCCATACATTACCAGTTATAATACAATATATATTATATCTGATTAGAGAAATTAGTATAATAAAAATATTATAACTATGATATATAATAAAGTGAGATCTTAAAAAAAAAATCAACGATGTTCCAAAATTTGTTTCATTAAATATTATAATTATAACATAGGGCCAAACCGAATTATTAATTCATTATAGTTTTAATTAGATATAATCGGACCAAAACGAATCGATTAAAATCAAATAACCGTTTGATTATAAATTTTTAAAATCTCAAATAATCGAACCCAAATTAATCATAACACCGAACCAAATCGTTCACCCACCGCTAACAAAAATCATGTATTTTTCACATTCTCCTAAATTGGTTATGAATTGAGATCCATTTCGATTGAAATTCACCCAATACAAAATTAAGCTCGGATTTTGATATAAAACTGAGATGTGACACAAGTTTTCTTGTAGACATTAAAAACGGATTTTGAATTCGACAGGTAACCAATTTGAGAAAATTTGAAAAGTATAGAATTTTGTATGCTACAATAGGAAAGTTCATGAATTAATTGACCGGAAAAATAGTCTTTTATATGACGCAAATATTTGGTAAAATTCAGTGTTTTGCATATTATTAACACACGACATTTATCGTAACTTTTACCTTCTCCGGCGGCGAGGTTGAAATAGAGATCGACGATGTTAGGACAATTATCGAAACATTCCGGCGAGCAGAGCTTGGCCGTGAAGTCCGGGTCGAGGAGGCCATCGGAGGAAATTCCGACCGATCTCCGATCCACTCCGCACGCGTGAACACACGCGTCGCTCTCGACATAATTGGTCATTCTACCGACCTCGATCTCCGACGTCCGACACCGGAAATCTACCCCCCCGGCGAATCTCGCCTCCGTCTCTAACAGACATCTCTTTCCGGCGCCGGAGATAGAGAACGCGCATATGTCCTCCGGCAGATCCTCGCATATAATGTTAGCTACAAAGATCGAACACGTACGTGTTGATTATTGCAACCATATATACATATATATATATATATATATATAAAAATTAAATGATACATACATGAACGATTCAATGTACTTACCGTGAGATGGATCGAATGAGTAAAAAGAGATCAAGACCATTAAAGATGTTCTGAAAATAGAAACCATTTTTTTGTTTTTTTGTTTTTTTTTTTAAATAAGTACGTGTGATTTGGGAGAAAGTGTGTTGCTAGAGGCTTATTATATATAGATGGGCATTCATAACAAAAATAAAAACAAAAGGTCCGTGGAAATTGCCACGAGCGTTGCCATTTACTATTATTAAACCTGCCGGATTAAAAGCTTTATTTTTTTTTAAATTTTTTTATTTGCTTATATATGCCTCTTCATATTTTACTTGGCTTAGATTTGTCGATTTTTAACTTACCTATTTGATAATTTCGCAGTCCATTTACTATAGCAATTTAGTAATCTAATATGCAATAATTATATTTTGGTCAAGAAAAATTATAGGGAAAATTCTGTAAAAAATACTTCAATTTATATAAATTTACCATATAAACATCTCAATTTATAAATTATCAAATAAATATCTTAATTTAAGCAATTTATATCAAATAAATACCAATTTGATATCTATTTGGTATAAATTGAAACTATTATCAATCAATGATGTCATGGTTTGATATCTATTTGATACAAATTGAGTTTTATTTAGAAATTTGGAAATCAAAGTATTTGTATGATACATTTAGACAAATTTGGGTATTATTATGAAAATTTTCCCAAATTATACGCAAAAATATTATGCCTAATTCTTTAAAATTCCAAGTTCCAACGTTAAATATACAATTGACCGCCGGAACTTCCGGTTTAGATACTCGGTTCGGTAATTTCATTCCGATTCAGTTTATACCGCCATTTTGAGTTTCCCGGTTAAGCTTCCAACGTTATCTTCAAATCAAAATTATCCTATTGGAAATTTTTTCCAGCGAGCTTGTGAAAGCAAGCGACGATGAAGCTTCAGGGGCTTCTTCAATGGACCCCGAGCAACACAATTCCGTCGCTTTCCTTCATAAACTCGGCGATTAGAAAGACCCATCTCTCGATCTCAGCCTCCCTCGCCGAGCAGAACCACCAGCTCACGGCGAGGGAGAGGCGGCGGCTGCGGAACGAGCGGCGGGAGAGCAAATCGGGGTATAGTTGGCGCGAGGAAGTCGAAGAACGGCTGATTAAGAAACCAAAAAAGCGGTACGCTTCATGGACCGAGGAGCTGAATTTGGACAATTTGGCTCTGTTGGGTCCGCAATGGTGGGTGGTTAGGGTTTCGAGGGTTCGGGGTCAGGAAACCGCTCAGGTTCTGGCTCGAGTCCTCGCTCGGAACTTCCCCGATATCGAATTCACGGTAATTTTTCAAACTGGGTTTTTGATTTCTGGGTTTGATTCGTGCGATTAGAGTTTTGGATTTCGCAATGCGATGAGGTGATGGTCAGTGAAAGGTTGTTTGGCTGGTCGGAAAGTGGGAAAACATGATGGAAACGTGGAGAAAACGAAAGACATTGGTTGTTGGTGTCTATAGATTTGATAATGATCTCTGTTTCCTAAGTTCATTGCTGAAGTTACAAATAGCAAAAGAATGATTAGTGTGTAACCATTGCTTGATTGCTAAGAAAGCACAAGACAATTTAAGAACATTGTCTTTTGGATTAGTAACATGGTTACATTGGTTTGATTCCGAGTTCTGTTTCAAAGATTTTATAGTTATAGTCATCGTATAGCATAAGATGAGAATTCACACATTTCTTTTGAATCACATCGTGTTGTTTCCCACCAGGTATATGCTCCAGCTGTTCATGTAAAGCGAATACTGAAGAACGGCACTTTATCCATTAAACCGAAGCCCATATTCCCGGGTTGTGTTTTCTTTCGATGTGTTTTGAACAAAGAGATACACGACTTTGTAAGGGAATGTGACGGGGTCGGAGGCTTTGTTGGTTCCAAGGTCGGGAACACGTAAGTATCCGCTCTCTCTGTTCTCTTCGCTATCAGTGAAATATCTCTGAAGCTCATCTCGGATGGAACAGCCATGCCGTTCTAATACTGTACTGTTATATACGTCTTACGAGATCGATCTCTTTTTCCTTTTATTCTCGAGGTCTGACCCTGGATTCATAATTATATAAGTCTTGATCCCTTGTATATACTTGTGTATCTGTGTTTGCAGCAAGAAGCAGATAAATAAACCAAGACCTGTAGATGACAGTGACATGGAAGCGATTTTCAAACAAGCAAAAGAAGAACAAGAGAAAGCCGATAGAGAATTCGAGGAGCAAGAAGGATCAAATCTACTGACACCACGGGATGAACTCATGAGGCCTGACTCAGATCGAAGTGGAACTTTAGAAGAATCCATTGAAGATCCTAAACCGAAACAAAAGCTGAGAAAAGCTTCTACCTCTAATTCTTCAGCTCTTTCCTCTGGAACGAAGGATACGAAGGGTAAGAAGCGGCTTTCCACTGGTTGTGCAGTCAAAGTTGTGTCGGGGACATTTGCTGAATTTGTTGGCAGTTTGAAGAAAATGAACCGAAAAACTGGAAAGGTACGATCTCTGTTCTTTGTTCTTTTTTCTATGGGAGAATGCTTTGAGAGTTGCGTATATGTTTCACCGTTATGATGCAATGGATGCAGGCGACAGTGGGATTTACGTTGTTTGGGAAGGAGACTTTAGTAGAAGTGGACATCCATGAAATTGTTCCTGAGACACTGTGATCAATGGTAAGAAGCTTGTTCCTTTTTATACCCAATCAATCAAAAACATATTTTGGGTTTACAGATTTGTTCATGGTTGGATATGGAACATGTATGACTTCATGTCCATGTTCAACTGGTTTTTATCCATTAAACTGACCAACACTCTCATTTTTTTGGCTGTTTGGAAAAGAACCCGTTTTTTTTTTTAATGAGCGTAAAAAAAAGGTTCTGTTTGTCAACAAAGACAGGTAAAAAAAGAACAGATGAATAGGGACGTAGAAACGAGTCTATTCGGCGAGCCGGCTAGCGAGTTCGTTTTTATCAAGTTGGACCGGAAAAATATGAACCCGAAAAAAATGGTCGACCGAGCCAGTTCGACCGGCCCGCGAGCTAGAGTTTTCCTATCTCGATAAAAACAGACCGTAAACGGTCTAGACGAGCCTGGACCGTAAATGAGCTGGCCCATTTTTTTTTGAGTCGGGCTCAGAATATTTGAGTCCATAAAAAAGTAGGTTGAATGAGCCAGCTTGTCATGGGTTAGACTTGTTCGCGAACCAATTTTTTTTTTAAATTTTAATATTTTAATATATTTTATATAAAAATTATATTTTTATCAGATATTTATTTTGTTTAATTTAAATTTTTTTATTATATTTATAAATTTTTTAAATATTTTTAATATATATTTAAAATTATATATTTGATTCGCGTGAAGCGAATTAACATGATCTAGATTGAACTGACTAATTTTTTACTCGCTAAAAAACGGATCGGATTGAACTGGACTAAAATATTCCCAGATCGAAACAGGACGGGCTGGACCGAGCCGGCTCGTTTTACACTCTTACCTAGAGTCTCTTTCTATTTATAGGCCCATTGGGCTTTTTATTCAGCCGTGCTGGCCTGTGACACATTTTGCCCACTGGGCTTTGTTCGAGTATAATAATGGGCATCATTATGCATAAAGTATAACTGGGCCGGAAATTAACATGGGCCCAATCAATTTAAAATTCTTAAAAAATAAAAGATTTTAGAAAAATGCAACAAGAATCAGACACGACATTTAAGTGGTCCGAGAGTCTAATATTAAATTGAACACACAATGTGTGTCAGAGGGAGAGAGCATGGCACACTTTTGCCAGTCTTTCAAATAAATGCAGACCTGTTTTTTTTTTAGCATTTAATTTCATTTTTCTTTTCAAGAGTTCTATTTCATTTAATAAAACATCATCAGTTTGGTAGTATCATTTTCTTTTGTAAAAAAAAAAAAGAGCATGCTTTAATAATGTCTCAATAATACTAGTGCCCTTTGCCTCCCGTCACATGCCATTGTTATCCTGGACCCAATTAGGGATTGTAACTATTATTGTAAATATAAATATGTTAATATAAATATATATATATAAAAAAGAGGTCTTATTAATGTACATAAATGTGAACTTGGTCATATGGGAAGTAATTTCTTTCACGGTTTTCAAGTTGGGGAGAAGGCAGCTGAAGCAGAAGGTTCTCTTCGAGACACTTTGCTTGTTTTTTTTTTTCCCCTGTATTCTTCAGACAGCCTTGTTTAATGACCCGACCATACATTACTAATATTGATTTTATCATTCGAAGAAAACGGAAATGTGCGCGCAGAAGAAAAGGAAAACACAAGCGCGCGCACGTTAGTATTTATCTGTTAATATTTGCTAAAGCACGCACAACCCAATGCATATTTTTTTTGGCATACCCCTTCACCTCATGATTTCTTGATTTGAGAAAGATCAATGGTGATCCACTAATTAAATCCCGCTTTTGGAGATTCCATCTCTTTAGCCCCACATTTAGTATTGTTTTGCTTTTTTTTGGGACAATAATATGATTTCACTTCCACTAATTAGAAAAGGTAAGACCCCATTCTAGTTTGAAATAATATTGCATATTGAAAAAAACTGCAATCATACATTGGTTTATTTTAGTATAAGCTAAAGTTGTCTTGTTTGTAGTAAACTAATTATCAAATGGTTTGTGGAAACAAGTAGTTAGGTTTTTTTTTATACCAAAATCTAAATAATTGAGGCAAAAAATGAATTAGAACATTGATAAGTAAAAGTTAGTCTTCTATCAAATACATTTACAATCTGTGTTTTCTCATTTGTTGGTTAAGTAACTCTTGATTTTATATGAAAGAGAAAATATATATAATTAAGTTTCTCTTCATATGAGTTATATATATATATATATATATATATTTTCTTTACTAATTAATTTACTCAAGTTCATATAGCACAAGATAAATATAGTAAATAGAATTGGGTTTTGGATTATAATCAAGGTACTAATATTGTTTAAAGGGTAATCTTGAATTAGGGTCTAATAATGTTCAAAGGGAAAAGATATCTTGATTCAATATATTCATTAGAAAAAACTTGGAGAAAGGGGACACAAATGTGACAATCCGAAATATATGGGCAGTTACATAATAGAATGAGAAAAACGGGGGCACAACTGTAAATATAGCATTAATTGCGTTCTCTCTTCCCTGAGTCATACATCAACCACTGGGTGTGTATTTAATGTTCCTCTGAGTTTCTTCACCAAAATCGACAGAAAAAAAGTGTAAAAAAAAACACAAGGGAAGAAAAAAACAAGAACAACATTGATTTCTTCCCACTAGAGAAATGGAATTCATTTACGAATCCTAGAAATTCCATTCAGAAGAAGAGCTCCTTCCTCCCCACGCCCATAAACCAGAAGCCCAAAATTCTTCTCGCTCTATACCAGTTTAGCCATGGCAATGTTAAAAACCTTAGCTTTCGTCGTTGTCTTTATCGAAATCTTTGGAATCATAGCTGCTGACGGAAATCCCTCGTTTACGTTTAATGGGTTCGGAGAAACTCCCAGCTTCGACGAGGATATCGCTCTGTTTGGTGATTCGAGGGTCATCCATGGCGGTTCTTCGATCCAGCTCACTGACTCGGTGAGTCGGAGCGAGGGACGAGTCATTTTCAGAAAACCCATCAAGCTGTTTGGAGATAAAGAGAGAAATTCCGGCTCTTTTTCGACTAGTTTCTCGTTTTCGATGTCCAACAAGATTGGTGGTGTCTTGGCTTTTGTCATGGCTCCAAATGGTCTGGATCTAAGATTGTCTGGTAGTAAGGATAATAGTTCCTCTGTTCTAGGGTTTCTCTCACGAGACGATCACGACGAGATCGAAGCTGTTGCTGTCGAGTTTAGGTCCTCCAAGAAAGGTAGTCGTGTCCAGCTAGAATCGGAAACTTATCATCTTTCCATGACTTCAAATGGAGCAATGGAGAGAAATTGCGTTGTTGGATCGATTACGAAGCGAGTTCGAAGAGAATAGAAGTTCGTTCGAGTGAATCTGGCGCCACGAAGCCAGTTGATGCAATGATATCATACTCCATTGATCTGTCCAAATTATGGAAAGATGGGAAATTAATGGTGGGTTTAAGCTCCAAGAACGGGAAGAACTCTTCACAGCCGCATTTCCTCCATTCATGGAGCTTTGACTCGAGGCCTTATCCAGCGTGGATGCATTCGCAGCCGCTTGATCCGAGCGAAGTTGTAAAGGCAGAAGAGAAGGGCATAGTGGGAAGAATTCACAGGAAAAGTCACTGCGTTTGGAGAATGGGCAGTGCATTGATTTTCGGCGCAGTGTGTGGTGCCTTGGCTGCAATTTTGGCGCTATGCTTGTGGCCGATATGCAGAGGCAGGCGGCCAATGGCCGTGGTTCCTGAGGAATGTAGTGTGAAATCAATGGAAATTGTGGTTGTAGATAAAGTGGAGGCAGGTGAAGAAGGCAATAAGAAATAGGTTTTCGAAGTTTTGGTTCTTGGAAGGTTGTGTGTTGGGCATTTTCTTCTTTCTTAGTGGCTGCAGGTTTTTTGTTGTGAATTTTGGTTAGGGCGTAAAAAGGGCCGACCCACTCCGGACTGGTCCGGATCTCGGAATTTTTTTAGCCTATCCCAATCCGACCCGTTTTTTAGTTAGTTGAAAAATACTTGATTCATTCCGACTCACCTTAAATCACGAGTCAAACAATAGTGTTCGCGAGCCAACTACCTAAATGAAAAAACAATTTAAATTTTGTTAATCACATATATAATTGATTAGAATAGATTAAATGTTTTATAATAAGATAAAAAAGAGATTATAATAAAAGTATCAAAATTTTAAAATATATATTTTTTATTTGTGGGTTCGTTGAATTGGTTCGCGATGAATTCAACTTGTGACATGTTGATTCGTGATTCGATTGACCCGTTTGATATCCCTAATTTGATGAGTGGTTAGCGAGTCGACCAGACACATTTTGGCATCCCTAACTTTGGTATGTAAAAAATCAAATTGTGAAAATGTAGTTTTTTTTCTCCGCAGATGGATGGATACTTTTTTCATTGAGCTAAAGAATCACGTTCGAGCATCCAAATCAAAAACCTTATCTGTATACTCTGGAATCTGCACTATGAAAACAATAAAGAAGCCTAAGAACAATGAACTAAATAGGGAAAACAAACACCCTACGCTTCTGCTGAGCTTTTCCTTTTGCGTGTGTGAGCCTCCTGTGTACATATATATATATATACCAAAAAATCTTGAACCCTCTATCTATCTGACTGTGAACTTCCGAACCGGTTATCTCAGAGAATTGGCTCGTACACCCTGTCTTTCGAATCGGTTAGGCCCGGTCTGGTCCTGAGACCTGTCGCAGAAGCAACCCGGAAGAGGATTCGCGTAGAAGTTCTCCTCTGTCTTAGGGCTTGCGCCTGGCTTTCTCAGATACGGCGTCCCTACTCTATTCTGATGCAATCTCTTGACCTTGGACGAGAACTCTTCCCACGAAATGTTCCCCGCATCGAGCCGATCGATCAACTTCACGAATTTATACCTGAAAACACAAGACGGGTTCGGTCCTAATCGATGTTTAAAGCAAAAGGTTGAGTGAATTCCAGATTTCTTGGGGTGCAAGAAAGAGAGACCGAACCTGTCGGGGTTTATAGTCTTTCTAAACCCCTCGAATCTTCGGTGACCCTGAACAGCTTTAGCCATGTTACCATCGTAAGTATAAACAAAAACATCACTCTCCATAGCCAAGGTGTAGTCCAGAGCGGCAAGCCGGTTCTGGTAAGGCTTGATACGACCGAGCTCTCCTGGGGTGGCGAGGTTCGAGTGAGAGAAGACATTAGGGAACTCTTTGTAGAACTGAGACATGCTATCTTGTCCGTAGATTTCGCCGGCTACGATGTAGATGGTGGTGGTTGAAGGGAAACCCATGGCTTTGAGGAAGAAGGCGGCTTCTCGTGGGGTCATGGGGCAAGCTCCTTCCAGACGCTGTTTCGTGCCGTTGATTTCCTTGTCCTTCCAACGTGGGTTGTCGTATCTCATTCTCTCGAGCTCCATTGATTCTTCTACGGTTAGGCCTTATCCAGCGTGGATGCATTCGCAGCCGCTTGATCCGAGCGAAGTTGTAAAGGCAGAAGAGAAGGGCATAGTGGGAAGAATTCACAGGAAAAGTCACTGCGTTTGGAGAATGGGCAGTGCATTGATTTTCGGCGCAGTGTGTGGTGCCTTGGCTGCAATTTTGGCGCTATGCTTGTGGCCGATATGCAGAGGCAGGCGGCCAATGGCCGTGGTTCCTGAGGAATGTAGTGTGAAATCAATGGAAATTGTGGTTGTAGATAAAGTGGAGGCAGGTGAAGAAGGCAATAAGAAATAGGTTTTCGAAGTTTTGGTTCTTGGAAGGTTGTGTGTTGGGCATTTTCTTCTTTCTTAGTGGCTGCAGGTTTTTTGTTGTGAATTTTGGTTAGGGCGTAAAAAGGGCCGACCCACTCCGGACTGGTCCGGATCTCGGAATTTTTTTAGCCTATCCCAATCCGACCCGTTTTTTAGTTAGTTGAAAAATACTTGATTCATTCCGACTCACCTTAAATCACGAGTCAAACAATAGTGTTCGCGAGCCAACTACCTAAATGAAAAAACAATTTAAATTTTGTTAATCACATATATAATTGATTAGAATAGATTAAATGTTTTATAATAAGATAAAAAAGAGATTATAATAAAAGTATCAAAATTTTAAAATATATATTTTTTATTTGTGGGTTCGTTGAATTGGTTCGCGATGAATTCAACTTGTGACATGTTGATTCGTGATTCGATTGACCCGTTTGATATCCCTAATTTGATGAGTGGTTAGCGAGTCGACCAGACACATTTTGGCATCCCTAACTTTGGTATGTAAAAAATCAAATTGTGAAAATGTAGTTTTTTTTCTCCGCAGATGGATGGATACTTTTTTCATTGAGCTAAAGAATCACGTTCGAGCATCCAAATCAAAAACCTTATCTGTATACTCTGGAATCTGCACTATGAAAACAATAAAGAAGCCTAAGAACAATGAACTAAATAGGGAAAACAAACACCCTACGCTTCTGCTGAGCTTTTCCTTTTGCGTGTGTGAGCCTCCTGTGTACATATATATATATATACCAAAAAATCTTGAACCCTCTATCTATCTGACTGTGAACTTCCGAACCGGTTATCTCAGAGAATTGGCTCGTACACCCTGTCTTTCGAATCGGTTAGGCCCGGTCTGGTCCTGAGACCTGTCGCAGAAGCAACCCGGAAGAGGATTCGCGTAGAAGTTCTCCTCTGTCTTAGGGCTTGCGCCTGGCTTTCTCAGATACGGCGTCCCTACTCTATTCTGATGCAATCTCTTGACCTTGGACGAGAACTCTTCCCACGAAATGTTCCCCGCATCGAGCCGATCGATCAACTTCACGAATTTATACCTGAAAACACAAGACGGGTTCGGTCCTAATCGATGTTTAAAGCAAAAGGTTGAGTGAATTCCAGATTTCTTGGGGTGCAAGAAAGAGAGACCGAACCTGTCGGGGTTTATAGTCTTTCTAAACCCCTCGAATCTTCGGTGACCCTGAACAGCTTTAGCCATGTTACCATCGTAAGTATAAACAAAAACATCACTCTCCATAGCCAAGGTGTAGTCCAGAGCGGCAAGCCGGTTCTGGTAAGGCTTGATACGACCGAGCTCTCCTGGGGTGGCGAGGTTCGAGTGAGAGAAGACATTAGGGAACTCTTTGTAGAACTGAGACATGCTATCTTGTCCGTAGATTTCGCCGGCTACGATGTAGATGGTGGTGGTTGAAGGGAAACCCATGGCTTTGAGGAAGAAGGCGGCTTCTCGTGGGGTCATGGGGCAAGCTCCTTCCAGACGCTGTTTCGTGCCGTTGATTTCCTTGTCCTTCCAACGTGGGTTGTCGTATCTCATTCTCTCGAGCTCCATTGATTCTTCTACGGTTAGGCTGTGATTGCAACCCGTGAATGCCAACATATCTTTCTCATACCTGCGTTTCAAAGTTTTTTTCAGATTCTTCTGGTGTTTCCACCAAATGGGTACAAATGAAGAACCTCGGATCCGTATGGATAATAAGCTTAAGCCCCCCCATAACAGGAAGAAAATGGTTTTGTACCTGAGGTGAAGGGCGAGGTAGGGTTCGTTGTTTCCTCTCAGCCGATCTATCAGATCTTTGCTCAGATCCTCTATGTCCTTGGCATACCGAAGAGCCTCGTAGTTTGCACGGCATCTCAGCCGTTGGATCGAAGGAGGGATACCGTTATTTGCCATCCGAGAATCCGTATGGATAAACTTAACCACCTTATGCTTCTTCAGTGTCCGAGCGACCGAGTTTCTGTAATAACTCGCCTGATAATACACCATTTTAAAGTGAACAAGAGGATATACAAACTAAAGATATTATTACACGAACTGAACTGAGATCAAACCCTAATACCTTGGACCAGGAGACTGGATCGATTGTGGCGGGTTTTATTGAAGCGTATTCCTGTGGCAAGTATTCTACGATATCGACGTCGCCTTTGAGTGCTTCCATGAAGTATCTCCAGTCGAAAATGTCTTTGAAGGTACTGCAGAACAGTTTAACCTAATCTTCAGGACACTTTTCTTCTCACGCAAGAAACAAACAAAATATAGGGTTTCCAAGAAAATATAGAGAGAAAGGAATCTTAACCTCGGATCTGTCCAGAACGATGTGTGGTCGAGAAACGGAAGAACAAGAGTCGCGTTCATGATCTTGGCCACCGCAACCATATCGCATATCTGCAACCCGAGCATATATATACATACGATTCGATTAGATCAAGAACATCAAGTCAAAAGATCTTGAACAAAAGATTTTTTTTATAAAAAAAAAACATTACCCCAGTTCTCATCTGGTTCAGACCACCATTTGCGTGAACAACAAGGTAACCATTGGTGGTGGATCGAGGAGTTCCTGAACACATTAAGCCAAAACATCAAATTCCTTGTCCGAAATCCGAGCTTTCGGGCTGTAAGATTTTTGATGAAAAGAGTGGGAAACTCACTTTGATTCTTCTTCGGCCGAGCTATGCATTGTTCATAACTTCCCTTGTCTGGTTTCTGCCAAACCTCTGGAATCTGCCATTAACAAAAACTGTACTGTCTTAACCACCCAATGGGCCTATATACCCAAACAAAAGCCCATAAAGATTTCTCGGTTTTCTTCTCTCCTAATTGGGATATTAACCGAGATATAATCACGTTTATCATCTTCATTAGTTAATCTTATAAAGTTTAATTGTTGTTTGTATCGCTAATTAATTATCCGAGTAGAAAGGAATAAAGAAGAACATCAGATGTAAAAGTCAACTGAAAATTCTGACGTCGTCCATCCTGACGGAAAATTCAAAGGTCTTACGGAGTTGTGGTGGTGTGACCCACGACCACGACTACGTCGTACTTGGAAGGGTATTTTCGTATTTTTAACGAACTTTACAGAAATCTCAATGAAAATCTATGCAGATGTAAAAAAGATTTAGACTTTTTTAAAGAAAAACTTGGATGCAGAATTTTTGTCGAATGAACAGAGTCCGTAACGTGTTAGGTTTTCTCGGGAAACAAACAGAAAATCATTTCGAGAAAGAAAGGAAAAGAAACACCCCGAGAAACAGAAACTTTTTCTGGAAATTAAACAAACGAACCCCCTGAAATATTATTTTAAGAAAAAGTAGAGCTTTAATACATTTCGTTAAGCTGATGTTCTGGTAATATTTCGTTTGATTCTGGTTTTCTCGGGAAACAAACGGAAAATCAGCACGAGATTTTGAACTTACCGGGAATTTATCAGGAACAACGGGTGTGGCGATATTATCTACGACGACGTTCTGAGCAGAATTCGTCTCCCCAGGAACCGTCACGACCAAACCCCCCGACGACCCAGCAAGCGCGTGACTCACCACGCGCCGTCCAGCTCCGCCGCCGGAGAGACCGAAGAAGAGGAAGAAGGAAGCGACGGCAAGAACGGCGACGAGGGCGAGGATCGCACGGCCAGGATTGATCCGGGATCTCAGGTTTCGAGCCATCGCGACCGTCCATTGTCCTCTGTTCTCCATCATCAGCATCCAAACCAGACGGAATTTCCGGAAAGAGAGGAATCCGATGAGGAAACGGTGGTTGTGGCTGTGGTGGTGATGGTGAGATTCCGTGGAGGAGCACGATCCCACGGGACTTGTCCCCTCTTCCTCGTCGTAAACCACCGCGTTCGATCCGCCGCCGGTGCTGACGTGGCAGTGGTCTGCCGCAGAGGCGTCCACGCGCCGCCGCGTAGTGGTTGGAGCCGCCGGTAATTGGCCGATGGTCGAGGCGTTGACCGCAGAGCCGGCCGACATGTGGCCGAAGACGGGGATTCTATAATTAACAAACAAACGGAGAGGTGAAAGGGGAAGCTGCGAAATTTTCCGGGAAAGTTAACGAGAAAATGAAGGAAAATTATAAGAAGAAAAAAACAGGAGGAATTTCGTTAGTCCGTTGTTGTGTGTCTCCCCCTTTCTCTCAATCTCTCTCCCGAGATCTCCGGTGGGAACACAGGTCTTAAGTTGAGCACAACTACACATAAAAAAAAATATTATATATATATGTATGTATACATATACATAGATATAGAGAGAGAGACCTGTGGACTGTGGAGTATATCTGTGCGGTTAAATAATTATGACGATAGCTAAAAAAATATTTGTACGGTAAATATCTACTCATTGGCTTTTATACCAAGCCATAGTTTGTTTCTAACGGGGGGTGGTAATTTCGGTCGAACCAAACCGAATAAGATATAACCGTAACTAAACCGAATCTGACATCAAAACCGAACGGTTATGATTTCTTTAAATCCAAAAAACTGAAATCGAAACCGAACCGAAAGAATAACCGACATTTTCTTTGGAAAATTGAACTTTTTACCAAAACCGAATCGAACCCGAAGCGAAAAATAACCGAACCGGAATTTATATAAAAACCGAATGGTTATAGTTTTTCTATAACCGAAATAACCGAACCCGAATATAACCGAACTGAACCCGAACCAAAATCCGAATTGACCACCCCTAGTTTCAACACATAAATATATATATATATATATATATCAGTTTTTTTTTTATCAAAATACTACTATTTACTATTTATTAAAATGGTTCAGTTCTGTTTTACTAAACCCAAACTCCATGATATATATCATTAAAATACGAAAATGAGTTATAATAAAACGACCAGATGATACGTAAAAATAAAACGGTTAAAGGAAAGTTGGATGGAGACAATTAGTTATTATGTCATTATGTAGTGGTTATGCATCTGAACAAAATATACGGAATATATATTATTAGAACAATATCAAATCTTTGGTTTGTATTGTATGATGATTCTGGATATCATGCAATCCATTATTATCGAGGATAAAAATTGCGAATAACAAAAACTTCTAATCAAAGACTAAATTAAATAATCACTACCCGGTTCAAATATCACTAAAAAAAAGTTTTTCACATTCACGAGAGAGAATTAAAGTTCTAATAACAACTAAAATAATCTTATTTTTATATCAACCGTTTGTTATTGCAAGATAAGATAATTTCAAGTTTTTATAATTTTGATTTTATAAAAATTCAAACGATAAATTGGATCTAATTTGGGATAATTTATACAAACTATCAATAAAATATAAATAAGAAAACATATACGTTTTTTATAGGGTGTAAAAAGTGTAATTCTATTAGGGTAAAGATTAAGGTAAAGAGAGAGATGATTTTCAATAATATCCGTGGATTTTTTATTTTCTAATGAGTTTTTATCAATAAAAATTAAATTAATATTAAAACCTATAAATTCACAAATTATATGGACCATATTATTTATTTCTTACCGTTATAGTTTATAGTTTTTTTATAACGGATGACTCCTATCTGTTACTCTTCGAACGCACTGACTAGGTAAATCTCCGGCCCGGGAGCAACTTTTGTATATGGATCATATAAACCCAGAAATTACCTCATTCCCCACCAGTCAGGAATCGAACAGTCAACCTCAAAATATAGTTAACTCATATCCCAAACTTGACCACTCGTCCACGATCTGTTATAGTTCATAGTTTATACTAGAGAGAGGTATTGGATTGGATATTGTTAAATGTTGTAACATTTAATAATATTTTCATGAAAGTATTAAATAAAACATATCGATACTTCGAAGCGCATCAATAAATGATATGAAATCAAAACGCAATGCGAGTTGAATTATTATGTATACACCACTTAATTTCATTAGAAAACTGATGATATTATTCGATCTCTTTGCTTTATGTGTAATTTGTCATTACACGTATCTCTCGTGCATACTGAAAAATAAAAAACAAAGTTCGAATATCGTATAGTCTCTCCAAACAGGTAGTATAAACATAAAATAAAAATATGTTTTAAACCGAATTTAATATATATGTTGATATTATGCATTTTTTCTTCTAATTTTCAATATATTTTTTGATGACGTGGCATGGTAAAAGGCACTTTTGGTGTGTTACATGTGAAATCAAAGCATCTGGCCCACAAAAAGATCATTTTGTCTTCAAAAAATTCTCTTTTTTGTAAGGTTTTTTCATCCACTAAAAATGTTTGATGTGTAAATTCGACCGTTCCTCGGGTTCCATGTAATTTTGTCCCTTTCTTACGTCCTTTCGCTCTCAATGGATCATAAAATGATTAATATCGATATTTGGATGATAAAATTTCAAAAAAAAAAAAATTATACATATTATCATTATTAACCAAGGTTGGTCGATGAGGTTTATATATTTAAGATATGACTTATATCAAACGATATAACTTTATATATATATATATTTGATTAAAAATTTCAAAAGTAACACACAAATGAAGTTTACTTATAAAGCCAAAAAGCATACATGAATTTTGTGAAAAATAGAGATCTTATATATATATATACACACACACACACATACTACACATGTATATAAGGGTGGTGTATATGAGCATTTAATATTTAAAAAATCGTACATATATCTAAAGGATTAATTTCAAACTGTTGGGAGAATATCTTTTTTAAATACATGGAAATATAGTACATATAAACTTAGTGAAGTTTTTTTGGTAGAGAACCGAGTGAATGTTTACAAGCTATAGTGATATCTTATTACAATATAAAGAATGTTAAAGACAGTGTATGTTGCCACCTTTTTCTGCACCGTACGGTATGGGACCAAGAAGTTAGCTTCCAAGAACAAACAAAAATAGAAACCAGGGTATGACACGTGGCACGCGTTTACAGATCGTCGGTTTGGATACCGACATGTCCGGGTTTGGTAGCCGTTGCATTCCCATCACTGCATTACAAAATTGCATTTATTATTATTATTATTATTATAGCATGCATTTCATTTTTTGTGATTTCCTGCTTGTCGCACAATCATTGGCTCAGAGGATAAATGGCCAAACTTTATTACAAAAGTTTTGTCACCCATAGACAATTTTTTTTTTGTTTGATTTAATTATAATTAATTTATACCTTTTCTCTTGGTTGCTTTATTTATATTTAAAAAATTTATTCTTCGTTCAATGAATAATATGCTGAAATTTGGAAATTAAAGATTTTTCATTTTTATATCCTTTACGCGTTAATAATGCTCCCGAACAAACAGCAGGGTATATTTATTTTATAGTTGTTGATTACAATTTTTTTACCCCAATATCAAGAGGCTGGTTTTATTTGACACCTACCATATCCTAATATTTTCGCATTTGATCGTTAGAATCTTTATTCTGATATGCTTCGTGTATCTCGTTATCTGTTGACATATATATCAAAATCATATCATAGGGAACATTTTAAAATGTACTATATTATTATTTAGATTTTGGTTTTATTGGGATCGGCTGGTTAGTTAATATATTCCACGCGTGTATTTTTTATTTTATCAAACTGTATACATTATTGTCACGGGAGTTTCAGTATATATATAATATAATATAATATATATATATAGAGAGAGAGAGAGAGAAAATTATTCATTTGATTAGAAGTGCAACAGGACACTAACTTTTTTTCCCGTGGAAAATTGCAAACCATGGACGGATGATTTAGGTAAGTTAAAGACCGTACATAGCTAATACGCTAGACTTTATGTCGGATTAAGTTTCGGGGAGAATCGACATCGCAACACGTTAAAGATGGAGACTGACGAGGATTTGACCCGTTCTTAAACATGCAAGCGCGTGTATATATATATATATATATGTATATTCCAAAGCAAGAGGAATTTGATGGATGGGGTCCACACGATAATATTGGAATGTCGAAATCTAATAATGCGAGAATGAAAGTGGGAACTCATATCCCACTCATTATTGGGCCTCCACTACTTTAAAGCTTTTAGGAGTCAACTTTTCTACCTATGACTGAAATGGGGAAATAGCTGCAATACCCTTTGACTGCTATTTGGACTTCTCATACTACCCTCTAAACAAAAAATTAAACAAAAAACACTATGCACCATGGCAAAAGACAATAAAATCCTCATATATTAATGAAAAGACAAAAAACCCTCTATTTTTTTCAATTTAAAAAATTTAAAATTAAAAAAAAAATTAAAGTCACGTAACTTTACTTTTATTCTCCTCTCTCTCTCCTAATTTTATTCTTCTTCCACTTTCTCTCTCTTTATAAATCTTTTTCTTCTCTCTCTCCTAACTCTCACGGTTTTAGTTCTCTCTCTTTCAAAACTTATAATCTTTTGCATTTTGTTCTATTTTCTATTTAAATCTCCGGTTAGATTCAAGATTCGAAGAAGAAATGAAAACCGCGTGGAAATTGCAAGGTTAGACAAAAACATGGTAGGTTATAAACTTCAATTTCTTTTAGATTTGTTGGATTTTGAAATTTGTTGTTGTTGAGTTGAAGTGTGGTTTTGGAATTTGATCGATAGAAATTTTGGGTTTTGGGCTTTTCAAATTTTATTTAGCCACCAAAAATTGAGGAGATAGAAGAAGCAATGACGACATCGAAGAAATGACAAGTTCATGTTCATCTTCGTCACATTTTTCGAGCAAAAATAGGAACCTTATGGAGATTACGGAGTTAGATGAACATAAGGTAGATTAAAATTCAATTTATTTGCAAGTTTGTTTGATTTTGAGATGTGTTCTTGTTGAGTTGAAGTGTGGGTCGGGGATTTGAACGATAAAGCATTAGGGTTTTGAATTTTTTTAAAATTTGGGGATTTCAAAATAGAATGTTGGTTTGCGGGTTTATGGATCAAATTGAGTGAAATGGTTGTGTTTCGGTCAAATAAGACAGTCATATAGGTCGAATTACGGTCACAGTATCACAAGATCATATAGGTACGCCTATATCACAATATACAATAGTCACGGGTCACATGGTCACATGGTCACAAGGTCACATGATCACATGATCACAAAGTCACATGGTCACATGATCACAAGGTCACATGGTCACAATGTCACACGGTCACAGTTACAAAGTTCACAGGATCACAGGGTCATATAGGTACGCCTATATCACAATATACAATAGTCACGAGTCACATGGTCACATGGTTACATGATCACATAGTCACATGGTCACATGGTCACAAGGTCACAAGGTCACAAGGTCACATGGTCACAAGGTCACACGATTTCGATTGACTATATTGCATATAGAAAGGGGTGAAGAAACACTTCTTTTTTATTTGGAAGGGTATGAGGGGAATACAGATGGAAGGGTTCAGTTTTGGATACGACATCTGAAAACGAACCTGATCACATGGTCACATAGTTACACGGTCTCATAGTCATATAGTTTTATAGTCATACAGTCACATGGTCACAGTGTCACACGATGATATTTAGAAAATATTATTGACATATATTATTTTATTTTGTAGCACACGGAAGAGATGATGTATGAACTCCACATCTGCATTATAAAGCAACACGTGACCTACATAGGATGCGACTATTTGACTTGTGATACTATGTTCATAGAGCTGATCAACGCATGAGTAGAATCGGAAGACATGACAACAAATATTTCAGAAGACGAAAGTGTAAATTTTTAATTTATTTCACTAAATTTATTTTGTTTATTTTGTTTTGAACCATAACTATGATATGTTTTTCGTTATTTGGCAGTAGACTAAATTATGAACTCTTATATTTAGTTTTCTGTTTATTAGAAATCTGAATTTATTTATGTTTTATGTAAAATATGGGTCTAAATTATTGTATAAAAAATTTTAAACTTAAATTGATGGAGAAAAAAAATATAAGGTTAAAATAAAATTACGTTTTTTTCAATTATGAAATGAGTTAAATTGTCAAAGTAGTCTCCACAAGAAATCTAGGTTGAATTGCCAAAGTGGTCCACACAATGGAATAAGAGAAAAATTATGGGTCTCACATCTCATTTCGGTCACAATGAGTCACAGTCGATCACAACCGATCAAAATAGATCCCATATTATAAAAAAAATCTGAACTACTTAATGTTTTTTTACAGAAAATTATAGGTTTAAAATGTTGTAGGTGAAAATTTGGGGTTAAAATTTGTGAAGAAAAAAATTGGGGTTTAAATTTGGAAGGAAGAAAATTTGGAGCTAAAATTTGGATGAGAAAAATTTGGGGTTAAAATTGATATTGAAAAATTTTGGGAGGGAAAAAAGTTAGGGTAAAAATTTGGGAGGGAAAAAACTTGGGGTTAAAATTTGGGAGGAAAAAATTATAGGGTTAATGAGGGGTTGAATATTCAAACTGGGCCCCACGAAACACAAAAATCTGAAAAAGCGATTTTTTGGTTTCAAAGTTGCTATTTCAAATGTGTTCCTATATGTTTCATAATGTTTTATGAGTATTTTTGACAAATTTGGTATATTTATTCCATAATCCCCTTAAAATATTTTGAAATTCTCTCTCACACAATATATATTTGATATATAGACTCTAATAAACCACTCCGAAGCTTTAAAATTAAATTTTGGCCTATATTTATCAACACATTTCGGTCACGGGTCACAGTCGGTCACAGTGGTCACATAGTGTAAAATTGCACTTCGGTCACATGGTCACATGCCGGTCACAATGGGTCACAACGTTGGCTCGTGTGAGTCAATTTATTTAGTGAGTAATACGAATCAGATATATGCAAAATTTTATCTTCAATAATACAACCTTAGTATGGTACAAATACAATATTATTTAAAGGTTTTAATACTACATTGTACAAACACATTACAACATCATTAACTACAGTTCTTTGATATTATTGTACAAATGTTTTGTAACATATTATAATACAAATACATCACACAATTATTATAAAAATTATGACTCTCTCTTCACTCTAAATTAATCATTCTCTCCAATTTGTATGAAAAAAATCGGATTTCGACATTAGCTTACATATTTCCAATCACACGGTCACACATTGGTCACAACAATGATCATATGAGTTAACTTACTATGTAATGTGTAATAAAAGAGACATATATGTCAAAGTATCAGGCCATTCCACAGTTTTGGAAAGATAATTATCAAGCAGGTCTAGCACCAAAAACCTTTTTGTCTTTTTCAATGATCACAAGATCATAAATAGACAATGGTCGCATGGTCACATAGTCACATAGTCACATGGTCACATGGTTCATAAGGTCACAAGATCACGTGCTCACATGGTTCAAAATAATCAGAATTGTCATAACATACTATGACACATATATATATGACTATAACATATTACAAATGATAAAACAACAAAAACATAAAAAATTAGAAGAAAATAATAACAAGATCCATAAATGTGCATGAAAAAACCGATATTTTGAGAGTAGCTTGTATATTTCTAATTGTCTCATTGATTTATCCTTGATTTCGTCTAATTTCGTTGGATTTTTAAGACAAAATAGAAAAAAAAAAGAAGAGAGAGAAAACACAGAAGAGAGAGAAAGCTTGGTGGAGATTAATGGTGGGAGGAGAGAGAAATCGGAAGAAAAAAAGAGGAAAGAGAAACCGAAAAAGGAAGAGAGAGAAATTAGGATAGGAAAGATTTTTTTAATTAAAAATTAAATATAAAATAATATTACAAGGTTATTTTGGTAATCTAACAAAAAAGAGGTAGATTGGATGTTGGAATTTTTTTTTTTTCAAGAGGAGGGTAGTACTAGAAGTCCTTATAGCACATTGAGGGTAGAATAGAAGTTTCCCCGACTGAAATCTATGTACCAAACTTTGATTTTTTGTTGGAACTCAAATTATTTCAATATTTGGTTCGGTTATATTTTTTTTTTTGGATAATCCAGAAGTTCACCGGGCTTTGACCCGACTACATCTCCCAGAGAACCGGAAAAGCCCAGGTGAATGCCCTTCTCCACGCTTGGATTTGAACCCAGGGTGAGAGCATGCTTTACATGTTCTCTCACCACTAGGTCACCCAAGTTTGGGTTGGTTCGGTTATAGTTGTGATCTATATATATATATATATAAAGGTAGATGTATGTAAAGGTAGATGTAAAAATTATATAGGAAAGATGTACGATTAGATACATGCTGCTCCAAATATAATCATAATTTGATAGTGGGGAGAAGAAATATTGGGTCTCTTTTTTCTTTCAGATAGGATTTATATTATATAAATATTTTCATACGTTTCAAAAACTAGATTCCTATTTCATATATGAGTAAGAAGGCATGATAATGTATATATGTATTACGAAAACAAAGCCTTAATATCCCAAAGATATATACATCGGGGGTACGTAACGTACCAAAGATAATGTATGATATAGAAATGAAAATGATTTTAAATAAACAGGTATGCAGATTTATGTCCGGGGAGATGTGGTTATTAGATTCGAAGACAGCTCATGTACGGTTTAAAGAGAACGAAACCGCGTACTCTGTTGTTTCCACCTAACATCGATGTTCGATGTTTCAAATGTTCTTCTGCTCTTCCACCGCTCCCACCGACTCGTCGTTTTTTTTTTGATCCCCAAGTCAAAAGACCCTTCAAATTATGTTTCGATTTACTTAGGGGGTCGACACGCGAACTATAGATACATCAATGGTGAAACCCCGACATTTAGATTCGGGTGTTGTTGACCCGCGATCACCCCTATTTGTGTACAATAGCCTTGTTTCCATGGTCTAAAAATGTCACCCGTAAATATCCAAATCGTTAGAGCATTTGTTAAAATTTGTATATATATATCGGTTGGATATGATTACAAATTTTATAGTTTTAAATCCGAAAATATGGATCACAAAGTCAAAGGCATCACAAATTAAAGAGTTCCTGACCCATACTCTAACCATAATTTTAGTTTTGTTATTGTATAGATAAGTGGCAATCTAAAGGTTAAAATCCCACCTTTCCCCTAGAAATAGGAGCTAAATTGTGAATTTCAAGAATAAAGGGGTCGTTAAATGAAGTATCACAAAATATGGGAACCTTGTCTGTAATTTTCGGCTAATTAGTGATTGGCGGGACCTTGCGCTGCTGGGTGGTTCTTACTCGGGTCGGGTCTGGTAGAACAGGTAAGAGATTGTTTTGACCCCCAAAAAAACTTCCTAGGTCTTTCAATCAGCGAGAGCAAGCTCCGGTTGTACTGTAGTAAGCGACCGAGGTTCTCTTCGATGGCCGTCGATGGAAGCGAAGTGGAAGGTGAATTAGGTTTTTCTCTGTCGATCTCTTATGGTTTATTCCAATAAACACTCGTTTCTATTAGATTGATCATATTATTACAAGACCCTTCTCCTTCAGATAATCGGAATGAGGAATTGCAGAAGCAATGGGGTCTTTATAGGGAGTACCGCAATGGTTAAAACCCCGATTTTGGTGGATAAAAGAGGATGAATTTTGTACTGCGGAGGCTTTATCGGTAATGCCAAAGTCTATTCCTCTTGTATTATTGTATTCCTTTTGAAATCCATGGGGAATATGCCATTTTCTGATTGTCTAAATTAATTTCTCTTGGGTTGTGTATTGCGCATTGCTTCTGGGTTCTCCATTTTCTTTGATCATAATTTCCAAACTCCGTCTCCGATTCAAGTCTTTATAAATAATAAAACGCTAACATCAAATATGGCTGCAAACTAGCATGCTGAAGTTACAACTAAGTTACCGAGTGACTGCATGCATTCTCATTGAAATTGATTGATATGATTGAATACAGCTTCTGGGAAACATTCAACTAAGCAGTCCTGGGGAAGCTCAAAGGGCTGTTTACAGTTTTTTAGGGAATCTAGGTTTTGATGTTGGGACCATTGTCTCCACGAGATGTCAGAAGTGAGACCTTTGAAAACTGGAACCTTCAGGGTTCATTATATATAAGGGCATCATAGCCAGAACTTTATTCATCCTGCATTCCTTGAATTGAATTGCCAGGAATTCTCAAAATGTCTAGCGATTCAAATACACCAAAGATCCCTGTTAAACTTCTTGTCGACAGACAGAAAAACAAAGTTGTGTTGGCAGAGGCTGGTAAAGATTTTGTGGATATACTCTTTAGTTTTCTGACTCTCCCACTTGGGACCATTGTCAGACAACTGGAGGATCATCATGGAAAGCCTCAGCCAACCATCATCGGTTGTCTCGCCAACCTTTACGGAAGTGTTGTGGATATGGGCATTGATAATTTTTCGACTGAGGTCTGTAAGGAAATGCTACTGCGCCCAAGGAGTGTGAACGAGGACAGGTTCAGAAGGGTTAAGGTGAACCTACACGGTGACGCTACGAGGTACTTTATGTGCCCAATGTTTGATGATAAGAGCTCATGCAGCAAATGGTACAGCAATTATAGTACCTCGAGATGCAGCTGTGGAAAGTTGATGGATGTGGAGATCGGGTTACTGGAAGATGACAAAGTTACTGATCTCGTGGGAGATGGTGGAGTATTTGTCAGCGGCCAAACTGGATTCATCATCACGGACTGCTTGAATGTGCATCTCAACTCTGTTGGTCTTGTCTTGAGCACACTGAAAGGTTTAGGGTATGCAGATCTTAGTGAGTTGGGGACATTGGTCATCGATGTTGGTTTCAAAGAGGTACTTACCTTCTTGCCAATTACCATTTGATGCATCGTACTTGGTTATCTTCTTCTAACCTTAGCCTGTTCCTTCCTCTCTTCTCATTCTGAATTAGGTTATGACTTTACTTGGGTGTTTATTCACTTCGGATAGTACTTTGACGGATGTTTTTCTGAGGAAGCAGAGTTTATATCGTGTGCCTAGGATGAATGCGGCGGCATATCGACTTGGGCAGGGATGTGGAAACAAAATATCTGGTGAAGTAATAGCTTTGACTGTTTTTGTTAAGAAACAGGACAGAAAGATCCTATGTTTTGAATGTGGGGAGGACTTCATTGATCTTCTTTTCACTTTTCTTGCTGTCCCTTTGGATTATGCATGCCAAATCTGCTGTTTCAACTTAGGAAACGTTGACCCCTTATGGAGAAGCTTTGATTACTTGTGCTGTAACAAAGGGAGAGAAAAATCGACGTTGAAGTGCATGCTTCCTTGGTATTACAGATGCCAGAATGAGCTTCTGTATGTTGCATATCAGCAGGCACCTATTTATTACCGTTGCATTTCTTACACTTCTGGGAAGTTCACACGGTATAGCTTGACTAGTGACATCAACAAGCCTCTTGTTTATGGTTGGGACAAGCTTGTGCCTATGATCTCTGTTGATCCAAGGTTGAAGAATAGCTCAGAGTCAATGGCTGCCAGTAGTGGGTTTGTGAAAAGAAATGGAAGGTTCATGGTGTCAGATGATTTAACTGTAACGCCTCTCAACTCTTCCTCGACCACTTTCTTGCTGAAGAAATTGCAGGTTCACTTGGACGATTTCGAGGAGCAAGCTATTAGCATTGGGAAGAATGAGGTGAACTTGTTTTTATATACATCTTTTTCACGCTTAGATGAGAAATCTGTCTCTCTGTTGTTAATTGATCATGTTTTCTGATATAGGCTGCTACCTTGTTCCGAGCTTCATTTTTGACATCCTCTGCCTTAACCACTGCTTTCCGGAGCTTACTCGCCAAGAACCCGAAGCAGAATCGTCGTGTTTGAAGGATCCCCAGTGTCCAACGTTTCTGCCAGTCTTTCGGACTTTGCAATATCCTCTCCTTCTGTTCTTTTTTTTTTCCTACTAAATGCTATATTGCTTTAACGTCTCTCTTTTTTGGTTCCTCGACATTGTGTATTACTGATGCAAGTTTATGAAATTGAACTGATGATTATTAGTGTCTCTAATTCATAGATGATGATGAGGTTTCTTGGATTTCGCTGATTTTTCGAAAGAGTCCGTTGGATCGTCGGGTCGAGGGCACTTCGGTAAAAAGCTTTAAAGAGAGTGCACAAGGGGCATACAACGTCCTCCGGCCTCGTGATTTTCCACTTTTGTCCCTGTCGGATTCGTAAATTTGATCTCTACGTGAACCCTTCCAAACTAGGGATGTCAATCAAATGAAATGATCAGATCGACTCGTTTTGAGCCAATTCGTTTTCGGTCTAAGTCTGTTTTTATTCGGATTAGAGAATTGTTGGCTCAACCTAAGTCGTTTAGGTGGCGAGCCGGTTCGCCGGTATCGTATTTTTCTAAATACATAAAAAACTATATCAAATTGTACAAAACTATATCAAAATGATACATAACATAAACAGAACACCGTTTTCAGATCCTAATCCATCCATATACAATCAAATCATATTTTATGTATAAAAAAATATCTTCAGATCCTAATCCATATACAAAAAAATTATCTCCAAATCAAAATATCATATCAAACAATATCAACACTTTCAAGTTTCAACGTAAATTTTTTTATGCCAACTCCCAAGTCAGCTCGTGAGTCGACCGAACAAGCTCATTTGGGCTCGGCTCGTGGCGATCTGACTCATTCAACCCGTTTTTTATTTGTGTTCAGATATTCTTGGCTCTGCTCGATAAAAAAAGAATCAATCTCGAGCTGACTCGCGAACTCGGCTCGTTTTGATATCTCTATTTCCAACATTATATGAAACTAATCCACTATGTTCCAAATTCTTCTACAAAAAATAGGAATTAAGTTTTTTTTTTAATTTGTAATTCGAATCAGGGGCGGACTTACGTACATGTGAATGAGTTACCATTCCCCCATAGCTATATTTAAAAAAATAATTTAATTATTAATTTTTTATAGATTTTAATAAAAAACGAAACGTGTCCTCTCATATTTTTAATGTGGACCCGCCCCCTTCTATTTAGAATTTTGAATATTTTTCTTGAACATGTCTCAACTTTTTATCTAATTTTTTGTTAAACGCTGTCATAATTTTTATACCTTTATTTTATATATTTTTTTATATTCACTCTCTCCTCCCCTTTATCTCTTTCGCTTTCTCTCCCCCTCGATCAAAACATAAACAAAGTAACAATATTCAGATTAAAGGTACGTTTATGATTTTAATTTTTATTTGTTTATCTGCTTTTATGTATGTTTTAATCATACGAATTAATTTAATATTATATATTTATTTATTTTTATATTTGATTTGACAGAAAAATTAATGGATAAATTTCTCAAAAGAAATTTTACGTCGATATCTCAAAATAATGGTGAAATTCCAATCGAGAATGTATCAAATTCTCATGTTAGTCTCTTAATACCTGAACAAATTGATTTGGATGATTTGCCTCGGATCCATCTGATAGAAAAAAAATATTAGAGTATCATCCTAATCAGAGAGATGAGATAAGGCACAAATATTTGACTAGGGGATCTTGTCAACCACGTGGTCATGACTTTCCAAAGAAGATGATAGGAAATAAATTGAGACGATTTAATCCAACTTGGTTTGACCAATACAGTGATTGGTTAGAGTATAACATAAAGAAGGATAAAGCATTTTGCTTGTGTTGCTACTTGTTTAGAGAACAAGTTGGAAATGATGTTTTATGTCAGATGGTTTTTCAAATTGGAATAAAACCGAGAGATTGGCTTCTCATGAGGGTAATATCAATAGTTTTCATAATAATGCACGCAAAAAGAATGATGATTTGATGAGGCAAACTCAATCTATCATACATGCTATGTATAACACTACAAAAAAACAGTTATATAGCGACGGAAAAATCCGTCGCAAATATAAAGGAAATCTGTAACAATTAAGAATTTGCGACGGAATGCGACGGACTTATTTCCGTCGGTATAGCGTTGTCGCAAACGTATAACGATCGTTAATCCGTCACACTTTTGCGACGGAAAAAATCTGCGTTTTGCAACGGAAAGTGACGGATAATTCCGTCGCAAATTGCGACGGAATTTTTTCCGTCGCTAGTGTTTTAAAAAATTTTAAAAAATATATATAAAAAAATTATATACTATATGTACATATACATATATACATTTTCACATACACATACATTCATACACATACATAACACACATACAAATACATACATATATATACACATATTTTCATATACACAAACACACATACACATACATACATATATATACACATATTTTCATATACACAAACACACATACACATTCACACATATACACATATATACACATATATAAATACTCATACACATATACATTTCACAAACACATACACATACATATAAACACACACATATACACATATTCATATACACATATTCATATACACATACAATCACATATACATACACATACATATTCACATTCACATATATATACACATACACATACATAAACACACACACACATGCACATTCACACATACATACACATTCACTTACACACATATATAAACACACACATACACATTCACACATATATATACACATTCACTTACACACACATACACATACATAAACACACACAAACACATCAAACACACACATATATATACATAAATACATATATATATTACCTTATGGGAGAAATTTGGCGATCTTTGGAGAGATTTAGAAAAAATTTGGCGATTTTTATTTTTTTTCCGAAAATCTTTGAAGTCTGATGAAGAAGACGACTCGTGGTTTTATATTGCGTTTTGCGGCGAAATTTTCCGTCGCAATCCGTCACAAAATGAAATTAATTTACGCGCCCAAAATTAAAAAAATTTCGTCGAAAAACGAAACCAAATACATTGCGACGGAATATTCTGTCGCAATCCGTCGCAATTTTTATTTTCCGTCGCAAATCATCTATTTCTTTGTTGTGACATAATTATCCGTCGTAAACCGTAGCAAATTGTGACGGATTTTGCGACTGTTTGCGACAGATAATTTTTTTTCCACATTCTGTCGTAAAATCGTCACATTCCGTCGTAATTTTCTGTGCGACGGAAATTTCCATCGCAATATGCGGGTTTTTTTATAGTGTAAGCAAAGTGATAAGATGAAAAACGAGTATCGTATTCGGTTGAATGCCTCAATTAGTTCTTCTAGATATTTGTTAAATCAAGGACTACCGTTTCGAGATCACAATGAGTAAGAAAATTCTGATAATAAAGGAAAAGTTTCTGGAACTTGTGAAATATACTACATAACAAAATGATGGTTTGAGTAAGGTTGTTTTGAAGAATGCTCCGGGGAATAGTCAGATGGTTTCTCCAAAAATCCAGAAAGATATTGTACAATGTTTTGCATAACAAATAACTTCAAGACATAATTCAGGAGATTGATCATGATGTGTTTGGATTACTCGTGGATGAGTTTAGTGATGTTTCTGATAAGGAGCAGATGACAATAGTTTTTCGTTTTGTTGACAAGAACGAGATAGCGAAAGAGAGATTCATTGATCTTGTTCATGTGAAAGAAACATCTGCTTTATCTATGAAGTCTGTTATTGATTCTTTGCTTGCTAAACATGGTTTGAGCTTAAAAAAGGTCAGAGGGCAAGGGTATGATGTGGCAAACAATATGAAAGGTGAATTTAATGGATTGAGATCGTTGATCTCAAGAGAAAATAAATCAGCATATTATATTCATTGTTTCGCTCACCAACTTCAATTGGTCGTTGTAGTAGTTACAAAAGAGCTATTTGATGTTAGAAATTTTTTCGACATGATTTCAGTTTTGTTGAATGTGGTTGGAGCTCCCTGTAAAAGAAAAGACATGATTCGAGAAAGTCATCGAACGAAAGTGAATGAAGGAATTAATAGTGGAGAGATTAACACAGGAAAATGGTTGAATCAAGATATTACTCTTCAGAGACCTGGAAATACGCATTGGAATCTCATTACAAAACATTATTGCGTTTGGTTGAGTTGTTTTCTTCTATCATTGAGGTGTTTAAGTACGTTGAGAATGACGACACTGATACAGTTAAAAGGCGTCAAGCATATGGTCTTCTCAAATATTTCTACACATTTGATTTTGTATTCTATCTACAGCTGATGCTGCTCATTCTGGGACTCACAGATAATTTATCGATGGCTTTACAAAGGAAAGATCAAGACATTTTGAATGTTGTTTCATTGGTGAAATCTATAAAGAGACAATTACAACAACAAAGAGATGGGGGATGAAATTCACTTTTGGATGACGTGTATTCTTTTTGTGAGAAACACAATATTGAAATGATCAATATGGAGGAAGATTATGTTGATTCAAGGAGGTCGAGAAAAAAGAGCAATATAAGCAACTTGCATCACTATCAGGTAGATTATTTCTATATTGTTATGGATTTGCAGTTTCAAGAGATTAATGATCGATTTGACGAGGTAAATTCAGAACTGCTCATTTGTATGATTTGAGTCTTGCTGACTCATTTTGTGAGTTTAACATGCCAAATTTGATGAAATTGGCTGAATTTTGTCCTGACGATTTCAGTTTTTTTTGGAGAAAGTGTCTCTTCGACATGAACTTAGTATCTACATCGACAATTTGACGAAAGATGATATGTTTTCTAATTTGACTAATCTTGGAGATCTTGCTCATCTTATGGTGGAAACAAAGAAACAACTTTCATATCCATTGGTGTACAAACTTTTGAAGTTGACTTTGATTTTGTGTGTTGCCACCGCGACTGTTGAGAGGTGTTTTTTAGCGATAAAATTTGTGAAGACAACTTTACACAATCAAATTAGTGATCAGTTTTTGAGTGATTGTCTAGTTTGTTTCATTGAAAAAGATATATTTCAAACGATTACAAATGAAGTTGTTATGAATAAATTTCAAAAAAATAAAGTTGTTGCAAATAAATTTCAAAAAATGAAAGAACCGTAGAATTCAGTTGTAAATTGTAAATCATAAACAACGATTTATTTTTATTAATTTTTTTTATATTTTATATAATTAATAATTGTTGTAGTAGGCATAAAAAAATTCACGTTCCGCCACGGATCGAGTCGAGGTATTTCTTATGAAACATTGTAATTATGCTTTTATTTTTCTCTTTTGTTTTTTATTTTCATTTCGATAAATTCCCCGGTTATATGTATATATATGCGATCTTCTCTCTCCTCTCGGCAGCCCTCATTTCGTGTAGTTTCTCTCTCTAGGGTTACGATTTCAATTCACTGACCAGCGAATCAACTGAAGCTCACCCGCCTCTACGTCTCGGCTTAATTTCCCCTGGGATCCTTCATCGTGAACGGGGCTTCAGATTTCCTTCCTTGACTCGAAGAATCTCCGGTCTCTTTGTTTTTCTCCATCTTGCTATGGTTTCTCTTTGATTCCTTGGATATTCGATGCGGTGAGTTTCTGCGCTTCTTACTGATGCCTGATTGATCTCTGGGAGATTTATAGTATCGGCGAATTCAGAAATTCCGGCTGATTTTTCTTGGTTCTTCGGCGTTTAGGGTTTTTGCTCTGTTTAATCGCGGAAAATGTCGAGCTAGGGAAGAGGCAGGTTTCCGGTTCATTGTCGTTGCTTTGTTTTTTTACCTGGGTTCGGCCTACGGTTTTGTTCCTCGACGATTGGAGGAAAGAATTGGATTTGGATTTTAGGTTTCTTGGTCTCTGTGCGTCGTCATGCAGCTGCTTGTCTGTTCTTGTGGCTTCATAGATGACCAAGGTTTGTGTTTGTTGAACATGAAACAGGTGTTAGATTAGTGCTGTTCCTTGTACCTTTAATGGTTGCTACGATGGACCTAAATGTTACGCCCCAACCCGAAGAAGATGAGGAGCCTTTTGATAGGCGCATAGATGAATATGCAGCACGAGGAGAACGAACAGAGTCTGGGGCCGAGATATCAAGACGGGTACTATTGATTTCTCTCCCCATCTAATGCTGGCATCTATTGAATTGTGCCCACCAGGCCACCACAATTACTGTCTATTGTACCATGTTGCCTACTGAAAGATAGCCAAAATACAATTCCGGAATTTATTCCTTGTTGTGAATGAATTATTGAAAATATGTTGCTCCATTATGCCCTCAAACTTTGGGTGATTTTCCTATTATCTATAAAATCTGTACTATGGCGGGTATGTTTATATTTATTCTGACATGTTCTGTATGACAGATGGGTGATCATGCTAGAGCGTATCTTTAGTTGGATATGTTTGGGTAATGTGCTTGTTTATCCAATTGGTCTGTATTTTTGTTCTAGGAGCGCGAGGAAAGAAGGAAAAGAATGAGAATTGAGAAGCCAATGTCCGTTTCTCAGCCAGCTATGCATAATCAGTATTTTCATAATAGAAACACTAAATTCTGTGATAAAAACAGGATCCCTCAAGGTCATATTCCTTCACTGTATTTCGTTTCTTGCCTACAATTGATTCCAACTGCAATGTATCTTTCAAAAGTGGTGGGCTGAAAAACGCTTGAGAGCTAGTATCGATGATTTTTTCTCCTTGGTGTGCATGTTTTAAATGGTATTCTTTGACAGTCTGTATAATATCACAGGTTGGCTAGAGTGCCCTCCTGCTGGTAATGAAATAGGATGCATCATTCCTTCGAAAGTTCCTCTTAGTGAACTTTACAATGATCAAGTTCTTCCTGGTAGAAGATACTCTTTTAAACAAGTGATCCATAACCAAAGAATATCTGGAAGAAGAGTGAGTTTCGGATATTTTTAAAGTTCTATTCTGGTTTGGATTTTGTACATTTAATCAATTCTGACTGTTAGACTTTTGAGTCTAATTGAAGTAATTGTTATAATTCAATCACTCTTCCAGCTTGGTCTAGTAATCGATCTGACCAATACAACACGTTACTATCCTACATCAGACTTGAAGAAAGAAGGCATCAAGCATGTTAAAGTAAGTGGAAGACATGCTGTTTTCTTTTTCTTTTAAACGAATTTTCTGCAACACTGCAACAGCAGTTACACATTGATGTATGTCAAAATTTTGATGTCTTGCAGATTGCATGCAAAGGCCGTGATTCTGTGCCAGATAATGCGTCTGTGAACACTTTCGTGAACGAGGTATCGGTCCTTTTTTGTCACAATCCATGAGATTATAAATCGTCTCGGGTTCCTTGATTCAATCTTTTGCTTGATGATGAGCTTGTTAGTTGTTACATGGAAAATGGAATCTGCTTTGCTATTGGTACTTATGGAAGCAAAACAATTTTCTACTTTTAGATGCTGATTCATAGAAATTGTGTTCAGGTTAATCTGTTCGTCTTAAATCAAAAGCACTCAAAAAAATACATTCTCGTTCATTGTACACATGGGCACAATCGGACAGGGTACATGATAGTTCATTATCTTATGCGTTCCATGCCAATGACTGTTACTCAGGTCAGTGCTCTTGCACTTTTCTTGTAATTTATGTGATGTTTTATGTAGATGTCAAGAGCTTGAAATCTTAATTTATTTGGGTTCTGGCAGGCACTAAAAATTTTTACCGATGCCCGTCCTCCTGGGATCTATAAACCAGATTATATTGATGCTTTGTACACATTTTATCACGAAATAAAGCCTGATGGTATGTTTTGTCCTCCAACTCCTGAGTGGAAGAGGTCTGTGGAGCTTGATCTCAATGGTGAAGCATTGCCAGATGATGATGATGATGGTTCAGCTGCCCCTGTGCAAGAAAACCTGGTGCTAAATAGTGTTAATATCTATTCTTCTTTATGTTTATCATTTGGTTTCAATGATTGTTATGACAATGAATTTCATGGAATTTTATTAGTTACCTAGTATATATGTGGAGCTTTCATCTTTTTTGGCCTTCTTTCTCTCTTTCTAATCAAGATCCTTGTTCTTGAGACATTGGCGCATATTTAGGAGTGTAGTCAGTCTTTTCACACAAAATTCGGTCATTGAATTTGCTGATAAGACTATTATTTCAGGAAAATCATCAGGTCGATGTCAGGATGACAAATGACGACATATTGGGTGATGAAATTCCTGCTAATCAGGAGGAAGGTTTCCGGCAGTTCTGTTACAGGATGCTCATGCTGAATATTGGGGTAGGAACGTTAAAAGCTCTGATCTCTTATCTCTATGATTCTTGGTTTGTCATTATATCATGACAGAACTCTGTATAGTTTTATAAGCATGATATGCAGTTTAATTCTGGTTATCCATATATGATATAATTAATGAGTTCTTTTGCTTGCCATAATAACTGTATTCGTGTTCAGTTTTGTGTTGCTTTCTTATTCTTCCCTTTTACCTTTTTATCTTGAATTTTGTTCCATTCATTGAGCTTTCCTGCATATTTCTTGGATTTATATAATGTTGTATCTTACTTGAGGAAAATGCAAGAGTGAGTTGTGTTGCCTTTATGTAGTCTACTATAGATTTACTTTTTTCATTTGCTTTTCCCGATAATTGTGGTGATTATTATGTTTAAATATTGGCTTTCTGGTTTTAATTGTCTCTAATCCAGGGAAGAGGATGTTCGCAGTTCCCAGGTTCACACCCAGTATCCTTAAACAGGTATGTTTTTCTGCATTACTTTGGTAGCGCTTACCAAGAGGGTGTGGATATTTATTCTGATGTTTTGATTATTGAGTGGCTGAAATATAAAGATAAGCATCCGTCTGTTGTCATGGAAGTTCATTAGTGGTTGAAGTCTCAACTTTTTTCCTAACAGGGAGAACTTGCAGCTATTGAGGCAGCGCTACTATTATGCCACGTGGAAGGCTGATGGAACGCGATATATGATGCTTATAACTATTGATGGATGCTATTTGATAGATAGGAGCTTTAGATTTCGAAGGGTTCAGATGCGGTTTCCCTGTAGACATCCGACTGAAGTAAGTGTCTGTTGGGTTTTGCTTCGTAGAGGTATCATGTATTCCTATCCCCACTAGACTTATGGATATCTTTATCTTATGATTTCTGTTTGCAGGGTGTATCCGAAAAAGTGCACCATTACACATTGCTTGATGGAGAAATGATAATAGATACTGTGCCCGATAACCAGAGGCAGGAGAGGAGGTACCTCATCTATGACATCATAGCAATCAACGGCCAGTCTGTCATAGAGGTAGGAACTGTCATTAGTATTTTGTTTTTGTAATGGATGGTTTAGTTAGTTCAGCTGTTTTTAATTTAAATTTTAAACAAAGTTGTCTCGAGTTCTTTAACACTGGATCTTAGTATGATATCGAGGTACATTACAAAGATTTGAGCTGCCATTTTTCCTCCTTAAATAGAGCATTCCCAAGGTCTTGTGGCATTACGTTAAGTTTACTGTCTGATTATCTAGAAAGCTGTCTTCTTTTATTTAGCATGTCTGGTATATGATGTATTAAATATCTTAAGGATCTATATATACAATAATTCTTCTTGTTGGGGGCATTGCATGTCTATACATACAGTTTGGGTTGTGAACCTTGATCTGTGCCTGATGTAGTTGTTGCTTCTCATGGTTGGAAAATTTATTGTCTCAAAATTTTCTTGCGTCATTTATCTTGACCTTTTTGCATGTGTTAATGGGTGTGATGGTTGTCATTACCATAATTCAGTTTCCAACATATATCGGTGGCCACATTTTTCTGACCAGTGTGTAATCTAGTCACATATAGGTTGTATCTTGTGTGACTTTTATCAGTTGCTAATGATAAGCTCAATGATTTGAAATGGAACAGCGACCTTTCTATGAAAGATGGAAGATGCTGGAGAAAGAAGTGGTCGAACCCCGTAAGATTGAGAAGTGCTTAAGTCATTGCTACAGATACGACTTGGAGCCATTTAGGGTGTGTTTTAAGAGCCACTTTTTCTGTGATCACTTGTCTTTAGCTTCATAATTTCCTTCTCTACTTGGTATAATTGTTCATGGAGCTTGGATCCCTCTTCTTGTTGCTTTTTGTTGCCTAGGTACGGAGGAAGGACTTTTGGTTGCTTTCCGCTGTTGAAAAGGTCTTGAAGGGTTTTATTCCTTCGCTTTCTCATGAAGCAGATGGTCTGATATTTCAGGTAACCTGGAATAGAAATGGGTTTCATATTGTAGAGTTTAGGTCTGGATGTAACTGTTTTCCATGAATGTATGCAGTAGAAAATTTATGCTGTCATTCTTATCATGCTGGTGTTACGACTTACGGTCCATTTCATCTGGAGAAAGGAGGAAGATTGCTTTTAGTTCCGGCTATGATATAAGGGTATCTGGTTTTCTATTGACAGGGATGGGATGACCCTTATGTTCCCCGTACCCATGAAGGTCTTTTGAAGTGGAAGTATCCGGAGATGAATTCAGTAGACTTTCTGTACGAGGTGGGTGAGGATGGCCGTCAAATGCTCTCACTGTTTGAAAGAGGGAAGAAAAAGGTTATGGAAGGGAATTCAGTCGTTTTTAAAGGTTGGTTATGACAAAATATCCATTTATACCCGACTTTAGTTATAGTTATTAGGGTCGACCCTGCAAGTAAGTTTTGAACTTTCAAATGGTAGCAGATGATTCCGACCCTGCAAGTTACTCGGGGAAGATTATCGAGTGTTCATGGGATCAGGACGAACGGGTCTGGGTTTGCATGCGAATCAGGACAGACAAATCAACTCCAAATGATATTAACACGTATAGGAAGGTCGGTGCTTCTTTTCGTAACCACCCGATAGTATTCTTTTAACTCCCTGTCCCGGGTTGCCTTATTTGTTAGTCGAGCTTTTCGTTACACCTTTAATAAGTTTTCACCATTACTGCGATATCTCGGCTATTATGTAATAGCGACCTGTTTTTTTTTATAAAAAAAAAAAACAGGTGATGAGAAGCATAAGGGACAACATCACGGAGGATGTGTTGCTGCAAGAGATCCGGGAGATAATTCAGCTGCCAATGTACGCAGACCGAATACAAATGGACAGTAAAGCTGCGAGGCGCAGATGATTTAAGTTTTTTTTTTGGTATTTTGTTCTCTCGTGCACAGCTAAATCGAATCTTCCTTTTAACATAGTCGTCGGCCAGAGTTCTCGCTCACTAGACACCTTCTTTGTCTCTGGTAGTTGTAAAGTTACGGTCGCCGTCTTTTATCGAATCTGTAAGACCGGTTTGGTGGGGGTTGTGAATAAAAACCATTTGCATGTGGTTTCGTGTTCAGAACTCAGATCAACATTAGTTGCAGTTGTAGTTATGGTGCTTAGGCTGTTGTAATCTACTTGTACTTTTACTGTTTCTGTCTTCTTCGTACAAAAAAAACGTAGCTGATTTCCCCCCCCCCCCCCAAATGAACCAAGTGTGTTGTAACTTGGCTCTCTCTTTCCTTTTTTTTTGGTTGTGAATATTTTATGCTTTATTACTTTTAATTTTCAAATTTAATGGTATGTCTGCATCCCTAAAGACTATATTCATTGTACCGAATCTACTAATACGGTCTATATTGTTTATATATATATATATATATATATATATATCACACTTAGATATTGTAGTGGCTATTTTACGAGACATTTTCAGAAATGTACAAGTGTGGTTCACTTGTGGAATTAGACAGTTCAATATCACCTGTTTTCGCCCGTCAGATTTGATAAGAAGCTCTCATTAGATATCTGAGGATGCAGGGGGCGTTTTTCGTAATTTAAAATAATTTGATGGGCCTTGCAAGTAAAAAGCCCATGTTTGTTATGGGCCGCGAGATGAAGTGATCCTTGGTTTTGATCTTTTGCGTACACACACGCGCACATAGGAGAATTCATAACGGACGATTATTTTTTCAAAATTGATAATTTCGAAGGTGTTTCCCTCCTATGCAGTACTCTGCCCCGTGTATGAAGAACCTCACAATCCCAACGAGAATCCCCAAAATCACTCTCCCGTTAGGGTTTCTGCTTCCCTCCGATCCCAGGTTCTTCAGAAGTTAGTTTTCTCTCTCTCTCTCTCTCTCTCGTTCTTCTCTGCTCAGAATGAAGCCCCGTCAAAGGCTGAAGAAGCCCGATGCATCCTCCAAGGTATGAACGTGCTCTTCCCCAAATTCTCGAGCGAAATGTAATGCGAGAAAAGGGTTTTGGCAATTTTTTGTATAATTTCTTGAGAAACTGTTAAAGGTTGGACGTTCGTAATTTGTGGATTCATTTCGGTTTCGTCTTTCTGCAGCTGGTTCTTCAAGAGATCATCGGTTTGACCACCAAAAGCGCAACAGGATTGGCGTCGGTTATCAGCAGCTCGAAATGCGTTTACCTGGCGGGATGTGTTGTCGTGATCTATGATGTTGATTCGTGTACTCAATGCCACCTCGCTGTCTCTCACCGGATGCCTAAGCCCTTGAATTGTGTGGCGGTGTCTCAGAACGGGCGATTTGTAGCTGCAGGAGAGGTATGATAGTGTTGCATTTACTATTATTGGTGTTGTTGAGATTTTCAGTCGTAGAAACAAAGTTAAGGGACTACATATATGAATGTTCTCTTCAAATCATCTATATAGTATATATGGTCTTGTCTATCTCCAGAAATTCAAAGGACTTGGCAATCTAAAATTAAATAATTTTGCCCATTTCGGGACATAGGCGTCCTTGTTATGAAATCAATCTGCAGTCTTTACTTAGGATCCAGACTTAGGCCTTTGTGCCTCACTGGAATGGCTGTCGTAACTAAAGAAAAAGTATTTCCTTCCGAATTGGAATAAGCTTTCAGGTGATAGATTAGTTGTCATATGAATGTCTTTTTTAATCTGCAAAAGAAATTGGAGTTTTGTTTACCTTTCTAGAGGGCCTCTAGGATATAACACGCTTTTGATTTGATTTTCTCAGTCTCCAAATCTCTCTGCAGTCTTAATATGGGACTGCGAGACCTTGGGATTGGTATCAGAACTGAAAGGCCATCTTTATGGAGTTCAGTGCCTCGCCTTTTCACCCAACGGTTGGTTTCATTCCATTATTGCTCCATCTGTCAAAGAATTGTTTTTGATTCCTAGTTGTTTCCTGTGTTTACTTGGCAATTAAACAACGGATATGTTGTTAGGGGAGTATTTGGTCACTGTTGGAGGGTACGTCTATCTTTGGGATTGGCGCAGAAGCATCTTGGTGGCAAAGGTCAAGGCAAGTTCTCATTGTTCTGCCATTACATCTGTGACGTTCTCATCCTGCGGAAAATTCATTGCTACGGGTGGGAATAAGCACTTGAAATTCTGGACAATGGGATCTCTTCAGAGGACACGTTCAAGCAAAGGAGTGGGATCACTAGCTATTCTCGGAAAGCCTCCTGATCATGGTCTTTATAAAGGAAATTCATTTGTATCAGTGTTATCATCCATTCGGGTTAACAGTTCTACTGGAATTGATGAACATGCTGATGAAGTTTTCTCAATATACGCACTCACAGATACAGGTATTTGTTCCTCAGTTGCATGCTGAGACTCTTAATTCAGTTTTGAACTGACGTGAGATCATAATACCCATTTTTTTTGCTTGTATCACAGGCATTCTGTACCTCATGAAATCTGGGATGTCAGTCAAGAAGTCTGTGGATCTGAAGGTAAGAGCAACTTTCAATTCATTGTTTGTTTCTGTTAATATATGAATTGATATAATTTGGTTTATAAGAATGTGATTGAATGAATTTATGATGAGGATTACATCTCATATATATACAATGCATAAAAGACATAATGACATAAAACATGGAAGAAAACATGGAAGAGACATGGAGGAAAACATGGAGGAAAACATGGAGGAAATTAAGTATAAATAGTGGCATAATTTTAGGAAAATAATTGTAATAGATAATAATAATATATCAATATACTAACATGCCCCCGCAAGATCGGTGTCGGATAGAAGACCGATCTTGGACCGAAGAAACTCAAACCGTTGGCGTGGGAGAGATTTGGTGAGAGCATCGGCAAGTTGATCCGCAGATGAAACATGAGAGACACGAAGCTTCTGAGCTTGAACGAGACCCCGAATGTAATGGTAATCAATGGCAACATGTTTCATCCGAGAATGAAAAACAGGATTCGCCGATAGATATGTAGCACCAATATTATCGCAGTAAATAACCGGCATATGAGAGAACATGACACCGAGCTCAGAGAGGAGAGACATAAGCCATTGTACCTCGGATGCTGTCGAGGAAACTGATTTGTACTCGGCCTCAGTGGAAGATTTGGCAGCAAAGCGTTGTTTCTTGGACGACCATGACACAGGAGTGCGTCCAAGATAGACAATGTGAGCTCCCGTCGAAGAGAAATCATCACGATCACCTCCCCAGTCGGCATCCGAAAATGCATGTAGTGAGAGAGGAGATGAACGTGAGATGAAAACTCCGAGGGATCGAGTGCCATTCAGATATCGGAGAATACGTTTGAGGGCTTGCAAATGATCCGAGCACGGACGATGCATGTATTGAGATAGTTTGTTGACGGCAAATGCAATGTCAGGCCGAGTGAAAAGAAGATATTGTAAGCTACCCAAAATCTGACGGTACTCGGTAGGATCGGCGAGAGGAGAACCAGCGTTGAGTCGGAGGCTCAAGGTAGATGGGAGCGGGGTTGGTACAGCCTTGGCATCTGCCATAAAATGTCGTGCAAGAACGTCAGAAATGTACCGTTGTTGAGTGAGGAGAACACCGGTTGATGTGCGGTTGACTTCGACGCCAAGAAAGTATGATAATGAGCCGAGATCTTTGATAGAGAACCGACGAGCGAGGACATCAATGAAGCTCTGCACATCCTTCGAGTGGCTACCCGTGATAATGATATCGTCAACGTACACAAGAACATAGATAGTAACAATATCACGGGTAAGAATGAACAATGAGGTATCAGAGAGGGAGTTAATAAACCCGCACTCAAGGAGAAATCGGCCAAGTTCATTGTACCACGCTCGAGGAGCTTGCTTGAGACCGTAAAGAGCTTTATGGAGCTTGCATACGAAGGATGGCTGATCTTTGTCGATGAAGCCTGGCGGTTGAGTCATGTATACATCATCGTCAAGAGTGCCTTGAAGGAACGCATTATTGACATCAAGTTGGCGAAGAACCCAACCTTTGGAAACCGCAATGCTCAAGACAACACGGATAGTGGCATGTTTGATGACAGGACTGAATGTGTCTGTGTAATCAATCCCAGGCCGTTGGTGAAATCCCTTGGCCACAAGACGAGCTTTGTACCTATCAATAGAGCCATCAGAGTGTCGCTTAGTACGAAAAACCCACTTACAACCAACCACGTTATAAGACGATCGAGACGGAACAAGAGTCCAAGTGCCATTGCGAAGCAAGGCATTGAACTCCTCAGCCATAGCATCACGCCACTTTGGATCCTTAAGAGCTTGCGAAACACACGTAGGTTCCACATCATGGGTTGGATGAAGGGCAGAGGTAAGACTAAGCTTGGGGTGCGGTTTAGTGATGTTGTTTTTGGAGCGAGTAACCATAGGGTGAGTGTTTTGTGGGGGAACAAGAGGTGGTGGTAGGTCAGTGAGTGTATGAACAGGTGAGTCAGGGAGCAAAGTTTGGGTTGGTGGTTCGGTAAGCATGGGATCAGGAGGGTCATGAGGCATCAGGTGCGGAGAAGGTTGAGGAGGTAGCAAAGGCGACAAAGAGCAGGTGAGAGGTATGGAGGAGTTCCTTGTGGGTGACGGGACAACACGGGAGACCAGCTCAGGCGATGACAATGTGTAAGAATGATCAGACCGACATGGAACAAGGGAAGACCGAGAGATAGATGGGAATGGAGAAGAGTTAACCGGAGAGTGAGAGGTTGAAAGAAGCCTAGAGTAAGGAAATTCCGACTCAACAAACTCAACATGACGAGAGACATATAGACGGGAAGTGACAACATGCAAACAAAGGAAAGCACTTTGGGTGAGAGAGTAACCCACAAAGACACAAGGGGCCGATCGAGGTTGTAGTTTATGACTAGAATAAGGACGAAGCCACGGGTAGCAAAGACAACCAAAGGTACGAAGTTTAATATAGTTTGGAGATGACTCGAAAAGAACCTCAAAAGGGGAACGACCGTGAAGGACCGAAGAAGGGAGACGATTGATCAAATAGACTGCCGTTGGAAAAGCAAAGTTCCAAAGGTCCAAAGGGATGGATGCTTGAGATAAAATTGTAAGTCCGGTTTCAACAACATGACGATGTTTACGTTCCGAAATACCATTATGCTCGGGTGTGTGGGGAGGAGAAGTAAGATGCGAAATACCATGACACGAAAGAAAATCTCGAAGTGCAATATATTCTCCACCATTATCCGAATAAAGAGTGACAATTTTTGTTTGAAA